TTCTGGAACAAGGACGTCAGACTCGAGCGAGAGAGAGAAGAGGTCCTCTCGATAGTGACTTGAGGACGGCGTGGCTGGCCCTGGCCTTCTGGATATATAATCCTCCTCGACCCCTCTACCAAACAGGATGTGAATCTTGAGTATCAGCATCAACAAACCATTTCTTCACCTTCTCACTTCAAGACGGATATCCTAGACCCTTTCCTCTTGATCTATTCACAATCCCATCTCTCACATTTAACCCACCTAACCCAAACCCCATACCATCCACAAAAGCTGATCCATACCACCCACCCACCGCCAATATGTCTCTTCAGGCTCCCCGTCCTTCGCTCCACCGTCTCTCGTCGACCGGCAGCTTCATCGAGGAGATCACGGCTGCTCGCAAGGAGCTTGAGGCCATGTCTATGAGCAGCCCCGACTCGTCTCTACCATCCTCTGGCGAGATCTCTCTCAATGGCAGCCCTGCCATTGGCAGCCCGGCGAGCGCCCTATCCCCCATGACCCCCACCCTCCATGCCCCCGTAGCCGACGGTTTCGCATTTGCCTTTGACATTGACGGCGTGCTCATCCGCGGCGGTCGCGCCATCCCTGAAGCTGTTGAGGCTATGCGATTCCTCAATGGCGAGAACGAATACGGTCTGAGGATGTAAGTTTATCTTAATACCGTTGTTCTACGCTCGTACTAATGAACATGGCCCAGTCCATACATCTTCCTGACCAACGGTGGCGGCAAGACTGAGGAGGAGCGATGCCGCGACCTTTCCGCACAGATGGAGATGGAAGTGTCTCCCGCGCAATTCATCTGCGGCCACACCCCCATGCGGGAAAAGGCCGAACGCTACAAGACTGTCCTCGTTGTCGGTGGTGAGGGCGAGAAGTGCCGACAAGTGGCCGAAGGCTACGGTTTCCGCGACGTTATCACCCCCGGTGACATTATCAAGCACAACAGCGCGACAACGCCTTTCCGCAAGCTCACCGAGGAGGAACACAAGAACTCGCGCGAGCGTGACTTTTCCGATGTCACCATTGAGGCGATCTTTGTCTTTGCCGACTCCCGTGACTGGGCTGGCGATATTCAGATCATGCTCGATCTCGCCATGTCTAAGGGCGGCAAGCTTGGCACCCTCAGCGAGACTTTCGATGAGGGCCCCCCCATCTTCTTCTCTCACAACGATGTCGTCTGGTCAGCGGCCCACGACAACGTTCGTCTCGGCATGGGTGCTCTGCGCCGCATGCTCGAGGTCGTCTTCAAGGACGTCACCAAGAAGAAGGGCACCCTTCACACCCACGCCTTTGGCAAGCCCCAGGTCAGCACCTTTGAGTTCGCGACACGTCTCCTCCAGCAGTGGCGTCGCCACCAGCACGGCTTCAACGCGCCCCCCGACACCGTCTACTTTGTCGGTGACACCCCCGAAAGCGATATTCGCGGCACCAACACGTACAACGAACATGCGGACAACGACTGGCACAGCATCCTCGTCAAGACGGGCGTGTATCAGGACGGCACCGAGCCCGCGTACAAGCCCCGCGTCACCGTCGACACCGTTCTCGACGCCGTCAAGTACGGCCTGCAGTGCGAGCTGCGCAAGCGCGTCGTCAAGGGTCTCCGCAAGGACGTCTTTGGCGAGCAGGCGTGCCTCGAGGCCCTCACTGGCAAGGACAGCGCTGTGCTGACGCCCCTCGAGGAGCGCGAGATGCCCATCCTGACTTAGAGATTGTCTGCATCTTTCAATACTTCACACACGTGCACACACCGAAATTGGAATATTAGGGTTAAGCAGCGTTCCTGAATAGGAATCGGAACGCATTACGAAAGCGTCATCAGCATGCACTTCTCTTCTTGAGGGTGTCTTCTTTCTTTTCCTTTTGTACATTGGCTGGGCGGGCATTTGATACCATAGGCGTACATCATCATTAGAATGACTTTGGCTTTACAATATATTGCATCAAAATACTTGTCTGCTCCGTCCCAAAGTGATCCTTTCCTCTGGATTCGTGTGAGTTGACGCTACTCCCACAGCATCGCAGCCCTCCTCGCTCCAGTGGTTGAACCCCCTGAGGCTCAAAAGTACGGGTCCCCACTATAACAAAGCGTGCCGACGTCATGACCTAACCCAGCCTCACCCCAAGTGCCGACCCTACACCACCACTGTTCAAGATTCGCGCGCAAAACCGAGATGGCGGATACACCTTCTAGCCCCAAGGCGAAATGGACGGCCTCGGCGACTAGAGCGAGGAGGAAGGGGGGGAAAAGGCCAACACAATTCCGCTAGACTTGCCGAAACCACGTTATGATCGACGGCCGTGACGCACTGTGCCACTCCGAACGGACGAATTGTTCGCTTGGTGTTTTTTTTTTCTCTGCCCCCTTCCCGCGCCTGACGGCGGAGCTGGCTCGTCTCGCAGGCCATTATCAAGTGCAAAAAAAAAAGGTCGTGCTGATCCTAGGGTCCGAACCATGCCCCCCTGGTCACCCTTCACTTCAGGCTTGGTACAGGCAGCACGCAAGCGCAGATGTGCGTCGGCGGCTGATGGTTCCTCTGGTGTGGGCGAGTAAGGGACGCACGCCACCGTCATCTCGCTGAACGTCTGACGGGGGTTTTCGCCGCAATGGCACAGGGCGCTAGGCTTCTTGCAATCGCCGTGAAAAACATCGGGGCAGAGGGGCCTCTTGGCGTTGAATCGATCTCGGCGATGAGGCGGACCCATGATGATGATGATGATGATGGTGGTGATGGCACGGCGATATGCCCGGTTCAGAGAATTCATAGGCCTGAACGCTATTGATGCAACTTTAGTTTTTGCTACCCAGTAACCGAAGCCATTGGCGACATACGGTCTAGCGACTTCGGCCACGAGGTTTATGTTGGTGTGAGAGGAAGGGTCGTGATCAGTGATCAACTAACAGTGCGGTACATCGCTGCTTGCCTGCCTGGCACCTCTAACCTAACCCATCTGCCGTCATAGATCCTTGTGAATATGTGTGGCGGCCTCATCGACGAGTGGCCAAGTATTCGTCCCGAGGTTAGACTAAGGTTAGACTTGCATTCGCGTGTTCGCCACAACCGATGCTGGTCCAAAGACCGGACTGAACGTGATGCTTGGAAGGCTGTAAACCCTATCGAGGCGATGGAAGCTCATCTTTCGCTGCTGCCGCGCCTTTCTCTGGGAAAACTATCGATCCCCAGGCGCATGAAGCCGTCCATGGCGCCTCATCCACCGCAGCCTGCCGCCTCTCCCTATCTGCCAACACCTCTCCGACGCTGGCGCCCAAGGGGAAGCCGCGTACCTCATCGCGGTCGACTCTCATCCAGCCGCGCCAGCTGGCTGTGGCTTGCACGCTACTGCTGCTGGGCCGGCCGGCGGCGGATGAGGAGCCGGTGGTTGCGGCCAGGGGTGCGCCAATGACAATGGTACCCCACCATTCACGGGTCCTGCTGTCGTGACGACCGTACAGCATGCGGTGTTCGGCGGCGGCGATAACATCTCGGAGGTATTCTATGCTGGAACGTGCTGGGCGGTAGACATGCACGTGGCGCAGAGGGTCATCAGTGCCTGTCTCGATATCGTGCTTGTCGTGATCAGCATCGTCATTCGGTGCGCTGCCGACTGTTAATCGTGTGGCATCGAACCGGTTTTCGAGGTCGATCACGACGACGGTCTTTAAATGAGGTGCTGCGATGAGAGTGGATATGAGAGCGTAGATGAGATGGAGGTAACGACCGGTCAGTTGCAGTGGTGATGCTGGAGCAGCCTGTCGCTGGCGGGCCACCAAGGCGTCGAGACCCGGGATGGGGTACGAGCTGTGAGACTTATTCACATTGTGTAAAATGGGCGTCGGTATTGTCGTCGTGTTTGTTGCGTCAATTGCATGACGAAGTTCGGCAAGAATCTAGACGATGGGGATATGAATTAGCTAGTTGTCTCAATGGGACACCCGAAAACTGCCTCAGGCGGAAGACGCTGTAATTAAGTCCGACGACACTTGGCTCATCCTCCCTGTGTCACGCACTCCGCCCCCATCAAGCCGCCTCGAACGAATCCTCGCTTTCGCTGCGGCCCAGCCATCTTGAAAACAGTCGCACTCGAACCTGGTCGCACTGTTCATAACGTTAAGCCCAAGCAACACAAGCTCTCACCTCATCAAGGGACGTCTCCTCGATTTCGCCCAGAACCCGTGCTCCCGCCCGCGCCTCAGCAGACACACCATCCATCAAGGACCGGCAATGTCACCACCGTGCCACGTATTTCCAGTCTCGGAGCTCCCGGCGCACGTCCAGGCCGACGTCCGGGGCCGGAAACGAAAGCTGAATGGCGACAGCAGCGGCGGCGACGTCGACCTATCCAAATGCAAGCTGCGCAGCTTAGCCCAGTATCATTGCGAGATTGAGCAGCCACAGACACCCAACAGTCCTGTACGGTGCTGGGCGGTCAATCGCTTTTTTCGAGAGTATGTGATGCCTTGATTGCTTGCTCTGCCGGGCGGTGGTTGCATGGATTGACAGTCTGATGTGTAGGTGTAAGGACAAGAAGGGGACATTCTCTGTCGAGACGACGGCGTGGGAAGGTACCAATGGGGCGGCAAAAGAGGCCGGCAGCAGCGCGACGGCTTTACATCAGCATCCAGGGACGAGCGTTGCTGACAAGACTATGTATTCCTTCTATCAAGATCATAAACCTTGACATTTCTCCTTGAGCCTTGTAAAAAGTATCCCTGTGTGTCTTCCTGGTCGCATCGGGCACTGCATTTCCGCATCACATCATGGTACACACAATTCCGTCACACAGCCATGTCCCCAATGACCACAACTGGGACCCAGACTCCTCGCGAGGCGTCAGAGGGTCGATAACGAAACAAAAAGTAGGGGGTCCTCAAGCTTGTATTGCTGGCAGGTTATGATACAAGGTCGTCAGACCCGCGACTTGTCTAAATGCCACAGCGACGCAATCCTCATCTCTCTCTGTTCATCCGCCATCCTGTTTCCTCAATCCATTCTCTATGCCTGGGCACCGCGCTTCTCGGCCTTCTGCTGCTCGAGCTTGGAGTAGTAGTTGTCGCGAGCGTGGGTGCGAGGCATGTGGTAGCCGTACCTGTTGTAACGTGCATTGGTTAGTCTATCGTTCTGTTCAATTGCACAGCTGCAAAATGGTCGATTGTTCGTGGTTTGCGTTCGTTCGTTCCTTGCCGTTCGTTGCTCAGGGCGGGGAAGGGATATCGTACCAGTAGGCGTTGGCCATGGCGAAGCCGAGACCTATCGTATCCAAAGTCAGTCATAACGTTGCGGGACGAGGCTACCGCCGACACCCCACAGACAGCCCACGGTCGCTTAAGAGCAGCGGCAGACTGTCCTGAGGAGGCGAGCGAATCCAATTGGCAGGATCTGTCACTCACCGAGGCCGATGCCGAGGTCGAGGACGAGGTTTCGTCGCAGCATCTTCAAGTCCAGTCAGTTCCCATCCCGCATCCTTCCGGCGTCGCCAATTCACGAGGGGAGACGTACGCCCGTGATGGGCTTGAAAGCAACAGCGCCGGCCATTGTGTTTGATGTTCGTGAGGTGTTGGTAGGATTCGTAGAAGGAGCGGCGATTGCGTGCAGTCGGGATGATCGGGCGTCGGGTGGTGCTGATTGAAGCCGGCAAGCTCTCGAAAATGGCCTGACGATATTCGCGCTGAGAAACCGACTCACGTGATCGATCAATTCCCGGACGCTCGGTCAATCAGGCCAGACACATTACCACCACCACCACCACCAAGGACAGTCGGCGGATAAACCTCGGCGCCTGTGTGCCCCGTGCAACCTTCTACCCCCGTGCCTGGGTCGACGCGAAGGTGCAGCGTTGCAGCTTGTTAGGCCATTTTTTCTCCATTGGTATCAAGCAATTGAAGCTGTCGCGGATCGCACCCCCTCCGAACAGCCAACGTCGCCCAGCATGAGTGCCCACCTCCCGAGCAGGAGGATAGCTCTATCTGGTGAGTTTGACTGTCCATTTTCGCCTTGCATACGACCCCATCACCACTGGCTGCAGCTTCGCTAACGACTCCTTTGCACCAGCGCACTCAACGCTATCCTCGCTGGCCACCGGCGCCCCTTCGTCCCAACGCCTCCTTCCTCTGAACCAGCGCCGCACCAAATGGTCTCTCCCTAGCCTCTTCGGCCGCGGCCGCAAGGCCTCCGACCCCGGCAACCGCTCCTCGGGCGGCCACGACCTCGACGACCCCAAAGTTCGCCAGCGCCTCCTGGCTGAGCAGCAGCAGACCAAGGCCCCCGCCCTCTCCGACTCGATCTTCCAGGATGAAGTCGAGGCCGCGACCTCCGACTCGCTCGCCACGCGCACCGACGTCCCCGACGGCGCCCGTCAGGCCACCCCCGCCGAGGCCGCCGCCTGGCGCCTCGACCCTGACCCCCGTTCCCGCGTCCGCTGGGAGCGCAAGAGGGTCATCCAGATGGTCCAGCGCCAGACAGCGTCGTCCGAGCCCTCCGACTATGCGCGACGCGTCGAACGCATCCGCCAGACCGAGCGCCAGATGACCCACAAGTCCCCCTTCCTCGAGACGTCGACCAAGAAGCTCGTCATGCTCGCCCGCCAGATCCAGGGCAAGACGCTCCAGGACGCCCTCACCCAGATGACCTACTCGAAGAAGAAGATGGCCCGCGAGGTCAAGTTCCAGCTCGAGGAGGCCCGTGACTTTGCCGTGGTGAGCCGTGGCATGGGTCTCAGCAAGGCTGGTGTCGCCTCCGCCGAAGACAAAGATGCTGCTGTCATCAAGATCAAGACAAAGGACGGCCAGTCGCTCAAGATTACGGACCCTTCGAGCTTGTACGTCGCCGAGGCGTGGGTGAACAAGGGCCCGTCTCGCAACCGTCGCATCGAGTTCAAGGGCCGAGGCAGGACAGGTGTCATAATCAGCCCGTCAACAGGTACGTTTTATCTCCTCTCTTTTTGATACTTGGTCCCTTGTGGGCTTGCCCTGCAATTTCTTGGCGCAGAAGCATTGAAATTGACGGTTGGATCCACAGGCATTTCGGTCGTTCTGAAGGAGGAGAAGACGAGGATACGTGAACACAACGAGAGGGTGGCTAAAGAGGCCAAGCGCAAGCCTTGGGTCCATCTTCCTAACAGGCCCGTGACGGCTCAGAGGCCTTACTACTCGTGGTAGGTCGCGATAAGGGTGAGAACTGCGTAGCGGCAAAGATTCCAACGACCAATGGGTTTGGTTGGTCATGTAATATCTCTGATTTGTAAAAAATATGTACTTGAGAAAGGATATCGATCGGCGACTTTCATCAACGCTCTCCCTGGCTTTGTCAACAGCGAGCCTGACCTCCCCTTTCCAGCCATGGCGATTACGAACAAAAGTCACCCACAATTGCTAAAAACCTTCACTTGTCCGCGAGGACACATTTTTGAGGGGAATCAGTATCGTAATTCATTATCATAGCTAACTTTGTGTACTGCCTATATCGACCACATCGCCACACTGCAACACCGGCCATCCCATGTGTATAAGGCAAGGTTGGGTTGTGACATTTTTTTCTTGAGGATGCTGGGAGGCGACCCAAGAGAAAATTGCAAGTATCAATCGCCGTGTAACAAGCTCGTCGCTAAATCATATGACGGGGCGTCTGACGAGGCACCATGTCCTCATACCTCCTCGAATTCATCTCAAGCTCCGAGTGATTCTTCTCGGATATGTATTGAATGCCACCGGAATAGTCTCGTCCAGAGCCAGGCATTGGGTCAGAAATCTGAAGAGCACGCTTGCTTGGTCGTCGTCGCAGTGTCAAGAAAACAGCTAACAGAATACCGAGACCTCCCACACCTGCACCAACGGCTATTCCAATTTTTGCTGTGGTCGAAAGAGCGCTTGCAGCTGCTGGCTCTGTGTTTTCATCTTCGTTGTCTGCAACACCACTAGCATTACTTGATTTCTCACCATCTCCACTGGCGCTGGTTGGTACAGCGGGTGGCTCTGAAGACGATGTTTGTGAATCCGAAGTCACCTTCTTAGCAGAGGGCGAGGCAACAATGAGGGTTGAACTTTGCACCTATTATGAAGCAGGTCAGTAGATAGACATGAGAAGTAACATGGGTGTTGAAACGTTGAGACGTACCGGCGTCGTCGGCGCCTCAGTGATTGCAGAGGCACTACTGAAAGATGACGTTGAGGTCGCCGCTGAAGAGACTGTCGTTGTTCCTTCTACTGTTTGCTCTTCGGTTGATGGAGTGGGCGACTGCTGTTGAGTGGTAGTCAATGAGGTGACGGCCTCGGGGGTTGTAGATGGCGACGGCGTGGCTGTGGCCGAAGTCAATTGCTCAGCTGGGGCAGACGGCGTAGTCTCAGGAGCTGCAGTAGCCGCTGTCGTCTGCTCAGGAGGTGCTGCTGGATACTGTTAACATTGAGATTTGGAGCTGCATCCTGGGCGATTCTCACCTGCACAGAGCGACTCTGCATACGTAACAAGTTGTTGCGCGACGGCCTCGTCACATGCTTGCTTTCCGCAGTCGTTGAGGCCGAATTTGAAGTTGTCATTGGCGCATAGACATTTTGTATCGCCCGAGTCACAAGAGAGGCCACTTGCAATCACACTATTGACGCAGGTTTGCTATAGTAAGACTGCGTCAGTATTTTGATTTCAGAAGATGCGGGAGTAGACCTCAGGAGACAGGCTTCAAGAGTCACTTACACCACAGGGGGGCAAAGACGCAAGGTCTTGTCCGCTAGCCGAAGCAGCCAGCAACACTAGACCAGCAAGCGCCGTAGCAGTATGCGAACGCATTGCGGAGATTGAGAGGGAATTGCCCTTAGATGTGAGGCCAGAAACCGAGTTTCCGTATAAACTTCCAACTTAGTCGCTGGGCAGCCGTTGGGGCTCTTCGGCGTTAGGCGTGTCGGGAGTTGTTACACGGCCGTACACTTGTGCATAGTGCACAGCGGTTGCAAATTATCTGGCTCCGTTGGTCGAGGATTTGAGAGTCGAGTGACAGGTTATACCGCGCTTCTACGTGATGTATTGCGGGACGAGGTAGCGGTAGATGAAAGTGCGCTTTGCACAACTTTGGTAGCCGAGTGTTCTGGTCCAGCTTCAATGGCCGGGAACGTCTGAATTAGACAGGCGCGACAGGAACTGTCACTCGGAATGTATGGCGTATATACTGGTGTGCCCCAACGTAGGTGGTTAGGCCAGGCGAGTGTGCGTGTGCCACGCGGATGGTGTAAGTCGTCGTAGGTATAATGCAGGCCACACTCGAAAAAGAAGCACCTGAAGAAGGAGACGGACCGAGCGTCGAAGAAGTGAAGGTAGGAGGACACGAAAACTTGAAGAACTGACGAGAATTCCGACACGATGCGAAGAAAATTGAGTCTCGGGCTGGGCGAGGGATGGAATGAGGGCCGCGACGATAAGCGGGAGGCAGGGAGGTTTTCAATGGCACGAGCCCCGGACGAGAGAGGGGTGGGACAACATGGATGATTGTCGACGGTCAGGCGCGGAGGCTTGGAATGGGGACACCGATTGGGAAGGATCCCAGGACGTTCTCTCCCTTCCGTCCGCTGTCATGGCCAGTGCCCATTGTCACGCATTAAGTCCTTGCTTCTATCACGTAGCACATCGGCAGCGCAATTAATACCAGGCAATTGCCAGACCTCCTACCTGCCTGGTGTTGGTGCCCTGTCCCTACCCCGGACCCTTATGTGCCTTCCTGCCAGATTAGTTACTAGCTCCTTCCGATCCAGATCGAACCAGGGTCAAGTGGTTGGTCGACGAGGGCCACCTCTACCAAAGGGGGAGGGGGAACGGGGTGGAAAGGGACAACCGGCGCTGCGCAATTGGTGACTTGAAGGAGGGCGGGGAGAAGGCGTGGCTGGCATTCGATTGACGTCCGTGGAAGGAAATGCGGAAGGGGCGAGCGAGACCGAGCCCGTCACTGATCGTCGTCAGTCAAGTCAAGCCATGTCATTCGGACAACCGGCAATGAGGGGTTGCTGCTCGTTGAATTCGCGCTCAGCAGACAGTCGATGCGGTACAGCGTTTTCAGCGCAACGGATAAATGCAGTGAGATGTATGTCCCAGGGCGGACAAGCCGACCATACGAGCCAGCCACATCATCGTCCCGTCCAGGCGATCAAACGTTTGACGGTTTGCCTGGTCAAGGGCCCCTCAGCCCCGGGCCTGACGAGCATCTCTGACGGGCGGACATGCCATGCCAGGCAGTCAGGGGAGGCTGTGTGCGCGCGTGCTCTGCTCTCTGGCCATGTTCGGACCAAGCAATGACATATGTGGGATCAAGAAGCGGTCTAAGCATACCATGGCGTATGGGCACGCAAAGAGCACTCTTCTCGTCTGATGATGGGAGCCTGAACATTGACCGGCTCGTTGGCAAACGTACCACTTCTCGGCAGGCACGAGAGCCCCAGGGCTATGCGATGGCCGACCGCCAGACGATTCTCCGATGCCTGAGGAGCAGGGCGGCCGTCGAGGGGGGGATGTGAGGGTGAAGCTTACAAGGGACACCGTGGGATCTGCGCCAGGGTCGTCCCTCGGATCAAACTAGCACTGGCTGGCCAAGCCTCCCAGCAGCCTGAACAGTCTGGGAGTGCGCCAAACCTGATCTAATCAATCCGAACCGGGAGTTCTAGTAGCAGCGGACGGGAACACGGCTGCATGGCAACCTCATTTCGTTTATCGTTCATGCCTCCGGGAAGCCCAAGACGGGGGGGAGGGGGCGCTCCCTGACGTCGATTGACTGGTACATCGCGCCCGTTACAGGACAATTTAGCGCACGCATCACGTTCGACAAGTCATTGCTCTGAATCGTCGTTCTTGTGACATGTGTAAGACGAGCATAAGAAAGCTGATGGTTGCCATCCTTGGCAATTAACTGTTTCAGGGAGACAAAAGGGGCAATGCCAACGAAAAATGGCAGCTGATTGTCGGCAATGAGAACGAAAGGGGTCAAAAACAGGGCTTCGGGACCCCCTCGTTTCTTGATCACCGCATGGTCCGCGGACTTCTGCGGGGGCGCGTCGTGTTCTTCAGCTACCTTCGTACAGGCTTACGGGGGCCAGGTGCAGCTGCAGAAGGGAGAGCATGTAGTGGTGGTAAACCATTGGATGCTCCAATCCAGGGACATCGGTGCCACGGAGTTGACTCCGGGAGGCCACCGTATTCTCAGCGATGACCAGTGGAATGAAGCTCAACTCGAGGTGCAAATCACAGGAATCACGTCTGTCTGGAGCCGAGAGTCATCACAGCGTTCGAGATGATTCAGCAGATCGCATTCCGCGTCTGCTGGCTCGTCGAAGCGTCTGCGATGATACCATAGAGCATCATAGTGACAGGCTCCATGGCGACAAATGGGCTTCTCGGCCAGTCAAGGTCAGCAAATGCAGTCCCGCGGCGTTATCTGGGCCCCAGCCGTTCAAGGCAGAGACGGGCATGATGGGATGGGGTGATTGTGAATCAGAGAGGGGATGCGCCATGTTCTGTGCCGTACTAGGCATTCCTGTCATGTTTGGCCTCTTGTGGGTAACGAAGAGTCGAACCTGACGATTCATGCTGCTTCAGATGGGTTGCTCTTTCGCGGCTGGCGTGGATGACTAAGGAAGGTACTGTCCCCGAGCGGTTGATCTGACTGGTTAAAGGCATCCTCCAAAGCAAGGCACCTCCAGGAAGGTAGTAGAGCAGGCGGCGCCGGCACAGAGGGCCGACCCACTAAAGAACCCACCAGAGGGAGGTCCCTCTGACAGTGCCTGCCCACTGTTACCTCTAGGCAGGTAAGGTAGGTACCAGGTAGGCAGGTACGTGGGTGGCCTCCGGTACCTGGGATTTCAGGTCATGACAGGCAATCAGAAACCAAGACAGTTGTACCTACCTCACCTCAGAAACACGGGTTGGAAAATCTGCCTGCCTCTAGACCATCCCCTTATCCACAGGCATCGGGTGCTCAACCCTTCACCACTCACGACCCAGCCTTGTCAGCCTGCCACTTCCTGCCAATCAGTCGGCTTGCGCTGTCAATCGTCCTTCTTTCCCCTGGCCATTTCTCTCTCTCTGGTTGCTGTCCGACAACCCGACTTGCCCGCGACCCTCATCAGGCACCAGGTTTGCTATTTTATGTTTCGCGACTCGTCCCAACAGTCTCCGAGCGCCCAACACACGAATCTCTTGACAAGTCGCGAATCGGGACCCTCCAACCATCTCTTTCCGCTGGACATTTCGCCCTCCGAATCCTGGCGTGTTCTCGTACCCTCATCTCGACAACCGGACCTGCGACTTGAGCATCCCAGCTCTAGCTTGCTTCGACTACTTGAGACGCTGTGCCTCAATCAAATCGCAACCTCTTCTCGCGACAGCGTGCTCGACGCCTGCGTTCCATCCATGCTCCGCCCCTTGTCGGCGCGACACAACCGTCAGCATGGCGCCGCCCCTCCCCGTCGGCGAAGACCGCTGGGTGGACTACGTCGCCGAGCATAGCCGTCAGGCGAATGACCTTGAAAAACACGTTCACGTCGTCGAGCTCTTCAAGCTCGCCGTCGATGCCGAACCCAGCAGTCTCAAAATCTGGCGCGCCTATTGCGATCACTTTTGGTCGCTCTATGTCGACTGCCAGTCCGGCGAAACCGGCTGGTCGGAGGAGGAGCAGCACATGAGTCGCGACATCTTTTCTCTGAATGCCGCCCTCAGCCTCTGGCAACAAGGCTATGAAGCTATTCAGTACCGCATCAGCGACAGCCACGAGCTGTGGGATCGCTGGATCTCTCTCGAGCGCGGCCTACTCGACCGCACGAGGACAGCTGAGGGTGTTAGACGTATCACCCACCTCTACTCCGACCGTCTGCAAATACCCCACGTCACACGCGACCAGACTGCGCAGGACTTTTCCACCTTCCTCTCCACATATAACAAATCCGCCTGGGAGGACACGATGCAGGCTGTCACGGCCAAGTCTCAAGAAGCCAAGCAACTCGTCGAAGATCGCGAAATCTTCGAGTCCAAGCTACGCAAGGCCGCCCGCGACGGTGCCGATGAGGAATACAAGACCCTGCTGAAGGAGTATCTAGACTGGGAGATTTCGCAGAGCAAGAGGAGCAGCAAGACCATGGAGACGACGGGCGACCTGTGTCGCGGTCTTTACTCACGCGCTTTGACTGGCGTCTTTGCGTTCGACGAATACGTATGGATGGAGGACATTCGGTTCCTCTCAACCTCGGGGACTTTTGCGCAATCCCCATACGCCATGCTAGACGTCATTCGCCGCGCTGTCGATCATTGTCCGTGGTCGGGGGCGCTGTGGTCTCGTTACATCCTGAGCGCCGAGGAGGCCAGGCTTCCTTTCCATGACATTGAACAGATCAAGCACAAGGCTACGAGCCACCCCGACCTCTACAAGAATGGGATGACCGCTCTCCTCGACATGTACGCTGGCTGGTGTGGCTTCCTGAAGCGCACTGCCATGGATCTAAACGCTTCCGACGAGGCCGTCGACATTGCCGACATGGGCCTGCAGGCTGCCATCGAGTTTGTCGACCAAGCCAAGAATCGCTACGGAGATGAGTACCGCGGCGATCCCGCCTTCCGCCTCGAACGCATTTACATCCAGTATCTCACAGAAAAGAAACGTTCGCCAGATGACGCGAGGACGCAGTGGCACAAGCTTGCGGAAAAGTCGCTCTACGCAGATAGCTACGACTTTTGGCTCAACTACTATCTATGGGAGATGATGGTGTTCGCCTCTAATGGAAAGGACCGCAGCCCAACGCCTTCTACCGCTGCCGTGGGCCTACGGGTCCCTTCTGTAGCCACAGCTGTACTGGGTCGTGCGGTCAAGCGTAAGACGCTGGACTGGCCCGAAAGGGTTATGGATGTTTACCTCCAGCACTGCAACGACTATGAACTTCCCAGCACCGTGAGGAACGCGACCGACAGCGTGACTGAGCTTCGAAAAGAAACCGCCCGACGTCGTGAGCTCGAGGCTGCTCAGGCGGCAGAGCTCTATGCCGCCCAGCTCCAGCAACAACAGGCAGCGCATGCGGCAGAGGAAGCGGATCAGCAGTCACCCTCGGGCTCCAAGCGGAAGCGCGGAGACGAGCAGGCAGACGAGGAAGAGCTTCTAGGTGAGGGATCCAACAAGCGTCAACGAAATCATGGAAACGAGGCCGACTCTGCTTCAACGCAGCAGAGTCTCAAAAGGGACCGCGAAAACACATCTGTCCTTGTCACCAACATCCCAGCCAGTGTCACGCAGACCAAGATCCGGCAATACTTCAAAGACTACGGACACATCAACAGCTTGCAGACAGTCGCCGACAAGGATGGCGAGTCACAAGTTGTCGTGATTGAATTCAGGTCACCCGAAGAGGCTCAGTCGGCGCTGCTGCGCGATGGAAAGTACTTTGGCGAGGCTCAGATTGGAGTCGAGCCCGGCACCGACCTGACCGTCTTTGTCACCAATTATCCTCCGACGGCAGGCCCCGATTACCTACGCAACCTGTTTAAAGACTGTGGCGACATAATCAGCGTCCGCATGCCCAGCCTGAAGGGCAATGTGCGTCGGCGCTTCAGTTATGTTACCTTCAGGACGCGGGAGGCCTCGACAAAAGCCACGCAGAAACACGGCAAGCTCTTGGACGGCGAGTATAAACTTACAGCCATGTTCTCTGATCCGTCTCGTGCCAAAAAGCGCGACGGAGCAGTGGACGAGGGTCGCGAGCTTCACGTTACCAATCTGGATACAGTCGTCACCGAAGACGAACTCAAAGAGGTCTTCTCCAAGATCGGCCCCGTTCAACGGGTGAGCATACCGCGCAACAAGGGAGGCAAAGGTTACGGCACTGCCTATATCGAGCTCGCATCCAAGGAGCAGGCCAACAAGGCCGTCGCGGAATTAAACAGCACCAAGTTCCGCACTTCGATCATGACCGTCGCGCTGTCAACACCCGTCATTTACAAGCGCGCCGCCGCCGTGTCTGGTGAGCGCAACTCGGCCTCACCGGCGCCGAGTCGTGATCATGGGGGTGACGAGACGATGGAAGACGCCAACGGCGACTCATCAAAGTCGCAAGCGCGGGAGGAAGTCGCCGCGCGGAGCATTGCCCTGCTCGACATCCCTGATACGGTAAACGATGCACGCGTCAAGGAAATTGTCGGCAAGATCGCCGGCTTTACAGGTCTTGTTCTGCAGCCGAGCCACGGCGGCGCGAGCGTTGAGTTTGAAGACGCAGCGAGCGCGGGACGCGCCGCGCTGCAGCTGGACGGTTACCTTCTCGACGGCCGAAAACTCCGGACCGGCTCCGTCGACGAGCTTCGGCACGCCAAGGGCGAGATGCGGACGGACAAGATTGTCTACGGTGGCGGCGGCGCCAAAAAGGACTTCGCCAAGGCGTCCGCGGGTAGCAGTAAGCCCTCGTTCGCGCCGTCGACCGTCAGACGGCCCGTCCTCGGCAAGGGCGGCGCAAAGCGCGGTCTCGGTTTCGTGGCGAGCAAGGGAGCCGCGCCGATAAAGGCGAACGGCGCCGCTGTGTCTGCACCGCCGACGGGAAAAGGAGACGCGCCGCCAAAGCCGATGAAGAGCAACGCTGAGTTTAAAGCCATGTTCCTGGGCGGAGGCAGCACCTCCTCGACGACCAATGGAAAGGAAGATGAGGACGCCAAGAAGAAAGAGTGAAAGGGCCACGAAAGAATAGTGAGCATCTAATACGGCGTTTATCCTCTTTTCATGTTCGACAATATTTCATGTCAAGAGGTCTTGTCAACCTCCGAGGAGGAGATGGAAGGAACAGGCAGAAAGGGGGGAGGGGAAGCTGCCTTCATGTATCAATAACTCGAATCCATCACTGAGAGGGGAGGGGGAAACACGCTGACGGCCCTCTTCCCTTCCAGAGGCCCGGACTTTTCCGGTCTCTTTTCAAAGAACTCGAGAACGAGTTTCAATTCTTATGCTTTTACCTCAATTTGCCGTGTCGTGTGTGATCTGCCATCTTGACCTCGATCTTTCGGCTAGTATGCGACACAACTGACACGCCGATCACTCAGACCCAGCATGGGTATATACAAGAAACTTCACAGGACCGCAGCATCGGTACATTCATTGCCAAATTACAGGGGATCTGCTCTTTTACTTTCAATGAGCCCGGAAGAAGGTTCTAGGCCTTGGTGACCGCCGTCGATCCATTTTCTTTGTGGGCGTCCTGCGAGAAGATTTTCTGCCACACCTCGAGCCAGCGCTCCTGTTGAGCCGTGGGCAATTTGCCCGGCTGTTTGAATGCACGAGTGAGCACCTCCCTGAGCCGGGTGCGCAGAACCTTGAGTACTAGCATTGTCTTCCAGTCCGGCAGCGCGAATCTTGCGCGATTCCCGTCCAAGACCAGGACGCCCGCGAACATCTGGGTCAGTGTCAGCAGATTCTTCCACAGTACATAAAGCCAGCCAGCCGCTTGAATGGCGTGGAGAAGGAGCAACTTACGTCCGCCTTGACATCTCCACAAAGCAGGGCGATAGCAAAGGCGTCGGCTGCCGATGTCTCGTGCGCGTGGTAGACACTGGAGGAAAGAGAATCAGCTACTGCAAAATGGTCTGGAAGGACTACAGTACTCACGCCTTGGACTGCATAATGTGGTAGTAGGACAGCCACCTGATCTCGTTGTGACCCTTATTGACCGATGAGGGATGCAAGCTGATGGACTGGTTGTTCCCCACGTTCCGCAAACCGCGACTACCAGGCGTGTCGCGCACGAGGAGTTTGGGGTAGAAGCTCCAAGCAATGACAGCTGTAGTGATTGCATCGTTCTCACTGTTGAGGTTGACGCGTTGTGGAATCTCAAAAAACTGCTGATGACGCCGGCGTGAGTTGTTTGAGTATCGCAGACGGTTCAGTGCGCGTCGCTCGTCATCGGTTAAGGACAGGAATCCCGAGTCCACAAGAGAGACCATGAGCTGGCCCTTAAGGTCCTCAATATTGGCAAGTGTCTGTTGGCTGAGGAAGTTCTTGCGGCAGAATTGAAACTCCTTTCCGCCAGAAGCACTTGTTGTTTGACAAACTCGCCTCCAAGCCAGGTACGCATTGTAAATAGTCAAGAGATCGGAGTCACCACGTCGGAAGCCCATGCGTACCATGTCAGCTTGCGCTCGTTGTCCGAACGGAGCGGAGAAGGGGGATTTGGATGACAATATAGCGGCAACCGTGATGGCCATATCCAGACACTTGAACACGGTGCCTAACAAAATGAGTTTCCCAAGAAACACGTCTAGAGGAAGCCTGGCGAGTTGATGACCCAGGGGCGTCAGCTCTTCAGCATTGGTCAACGCTCGAACATCGATCAAGGCGTCGACAGCACGTCGAATATTCTTTGCGGAAGGCGCATCCAGAGCCTCACTCAGGGTCTCTTCGATACCTCCAATCTTGCAAATTTTGACACGAATCGCCAAGTCCTGCAGGGACAAGCGGAGCATCTCAGGGGTCTGTTGGTCGCTGATGAGCGCGTCGTGTCGATGCTTGGTAAACATATGGAAACACAGGCCTTCTTGGACACGACCGGCACGACCCCTTCGCTGTTTGGCATTCGCGCGCGAGATGAACGTATCGATGAGACGGGAGAGCTGCCGCCTCTCGTCGAATCTCATCTCGCGATGTTTCCCAGTGTCGATGACGCAAGTCACATCCGGGATAGTGATTCCTGTCTCCGCGATGTTTGTAGCCAAGACGACCTTCCTGATGCCCGGCGGGGGGACAAGGAAGGCAGCCTCTTGGTCTTCTGTTGCGATACTGGAGTGGAGAGGATATATGAGCCAGTCTTTTGCAAACGAAGGATCCCCAAGGAGCATGTCGTTGATTGTCCTGATCTCGGCAATACCTGGCAAGAAGACCAAGATTGCCTTACTGAATTGTGAGTACGACGGATCGGCCGCGATCTTGGCAATGAGCTGGACGATAAGGTCGAAGTCGATCCGATATTCGTCCATCTGAGCCAGCGTGTTTCTTGTCTTGGCAGAATACTTTGCCAATTCGCTCCCCACAGTCGTCTTTGGACCTTCCGTTTCCGTTTCCACGTCATCATCGAGATCAACCATCTTCTCCTGGCTCGCCTGACCAGTGCTAAAACCTGTGAGTTCAATGGCATCTTCCAGGTAGCGAACCTGCACAGGGAATGTCCGACCGGGAACTGTCAAAACAGGGGCGTTCCCGAGGTAGTTGGAAACGCGTTCGGCATCCACCGTAGCAGACATGAGAACTACCTTCAAGTCCTTTCGTCGGAGCATGAGCTTTTTCAACACGATAAGAAGAAAGTCGCTGTCAATGGATCTTTCGTGCACCTCGTCAAGTACCAAATGCGTCACTTCTCGAAGATCGTTCGAGCCCTCAAGCATGCGCATAACGATGCCCGTCGTGGCGAACACCAGCCTCGTCTCCTTGGATGTGTTGGCTTCAAGGCGAATAGAATAGCCTACGAGCGATCTTGGCGTGCCAATATCACCCCGGCCCTCTCCGAGCTCCTCGCTCACACGACGTGCGAGCGATATCGCAGATATGCGGCGCGGTTCGGTACAATATATCTTGCATGGCTTGCCTTGCGCCAGCTGGTGCTCCAACAGGAATGAGGGAACTTGTGTGCTCTTGCCGCAACCCGTTTCACCACAGATGATGACAACTTGCTCACGGTCAACTGTATCCACGACTTGCTGACGAAATTGCCACATAGGGAGCTGCATTCGAGATTGCAGCATAGTTTGATAGCGAGGTGTACTGGACTTTTTAGCCCATATTTGTTGGAAATATTCAGGCCCTCCGAAATTCCTTTTCGCTGGATCCGAGGCCCCCTCGGTCAATTCCCCGGCGTTTCGCGCCGCTCCGCGTCCACGAAAGGCAGAGGGAAGTATCACACCGTCCTCGAGTTCTTGATCTTGTCTCTGTCGTACCATGGCACGAAGCATTCTGATTTCTTCTCGGTCCTTGGCGTCTAAGGAGCTCTTACGTGCTTCGGCAAGCTCGGCCCAGAGCTCTTTCCAGACAGGAGGCAGACGTAGTCCAACCTTTTCTTCCTTTTGCGAGGGGCCAAAAATATGGTATAGGGCCCACGTGGCGATGAAAGCTTCAGACTGCTTCTTGTCGGGAGCTGCCACAGACCTCATGCTATAGGTGATGGCTTTGGCGTAAGCAGAAACATGCACCGTGTCGTCTGAGGATGCAGGCGGTATGGCCTGGGTCTTGCTCCAACTGATGTTCAGCATGTGGCGGTTGGCAAATGGTACTTCCGAGATGAGACCGTAGTGGAGTTTGACGGATGAGTCCCGGGCGCGGCAGGCTTCCTCCAACGCCCTCATCGGGCTCACGCCTGTCCATGTTCCGAATGACCGAATAGTGACCTTGACTCCGTCGGGGCCATTGACAACTGTATTCGTTTTGCCAGTGTCCGCGTCCACTTCGTTGGTTGGTAGGCTGTCGAACAGACCTGCCAGTGCATCGTCATCGTCGTCGCCTGCACCTTCCGCTAGGATCTCTGCGGCCATGCGTTCAGCTTCATCATTGACATCTCCGGTGAGAGGCTCTTCAGTTGGCTCGGGACTTGTCTCTGTAGCCTCCGAGGTTGCGTCCTGGGCTTTCTGTCTTCTCATTGCAGCGAGCTCTTTTTCCAGCGCCATCTTTCTAGCCTTCCACTGCTGCTCAGCGGGATATTTGTCGAAAAGTACATCCTTTTCGATCCTTTCCAGCTTCGCCTGCAGCCTCGGGATGACTCCTTCGTCTGTGGGCACGAAGGGCTTCTGTCGCTTGCTCTCTTGGTGTGCCCGCTCTGCTGAAAAGAGCTTTGACTTGGTTTCGATGTATACAGGGATTAAATCATCCGGTTCTATATCGCTGTCACATGTGATGGCAGCCTTTTTGCTAGGTATTTGAGCCTGCGCTTGCGCTCCGTGTTTTCCTTTAGTTTGACGGAAAGGAGCTTCGGAGTAGCCCGGAGTTGTAGTGCCTGACGTGAGCGGGCTGTCGGCCGGTGTTTCTATTCTGGTCAGCAGTCAATCCTACATACACCGGGTTCAGGTAGGACAGAGCCCACCTGTAGGCTTCAGGCTAGGTTTGCCGCGACCCTCGTAATCAGGCAACTCATCGGCGGTCAACTCTCGGGCAAGCCACTCCATGGCTTCTTCGAGACCCCATATGCTGTCCTTCGCTGTGGCAGGGATGTTGGGCGATATATCAAGAATGTGCTGTGTGACAGCCTGAACGCGTTCCTGGGGAAAGCCCACGGAAGAAAGTGTTTGCTGCAGTGCCCAAAGGCGAATGACCATGTCTTCCTCTGGGGGCATCTTGCCGCTGGTGCTGTGTTCTGCCGAGACGTTCGAGGAGGCGAAACGGCCCTCGGCCTGAACGAGATCAAGTATGTGGTCCATGAGCTCTTGGGGAAGCCACTTGCGGACATTGATCGTCTCTGCCTGTCCTCTGAGCAGACGACGATCTGTCTCCAGGCGAGTTTTCTGTCGGTTGACATCGCGCCTCGTCTTTGCAGCATTTTTCTCTACCATCAACTGCAACTCGGACTCCTCAAGTCGCCTCTCAAACTCTTCTGGGCTCAGGTCCTTGCTTTCGGCAGCAGAGTCGCTGGTGGCCGCAGCACCTGCGGCGTTTGTAGCTGGTGTCTGGGCACCCGAGGCTGTAGCTGCACCGCCCTTGGCGTTGTGCTTTGGTTGGGAGGCAACATCAGGCGCGATCTCAGCACCTTCGAGGACTTCTGGCCTGGGTTTCGAGGCGACGGATGTCGTCGCAAAGCCGCGTGCGGGGTTGTTGGCGGGCTTCTTCTTCTTGGCCATGGTGTTGATGTCCTTATGTGTGGTCCGAGTTTGATCAAGAGTTGGGATGTGACAAGCAACGATGCTCGCTGTTGCTGCTGCAGGTGGTACTGTCGCCGCTAACGCCCCAAGTGAAGAGTGTAGTTACGGTCTGAGACCAAGAAAGAAAAAAGCTGGGATGAACAGAAAAATAAGCAAGGAGGGGGTGTTTTGCAATGAAAACTTGATTCTTAGGACAGTGTCTCCATCAGGGACAAGTTGGCCATCATGTGAGTTCCAAATTCCTCAGAACAGCCGTCAAAGAAGGATGAGAAACTTCCGAGGGGGCTGACAGCAGACCCTGCGGCAGGAATTCTTCTGTGATGGATGAGTGCGAGGTAGACCCTACAGAGCGCTGAGATTCTGGACGGGGTAGCTCGCGAGTTGTGCGTGATTGGTACAAGAAGATCGTGCTGCTTGACGATGAGACTGTGAGGTGAGATGTTGCCCGATTGCCCTTACCCGTTTGTGCCTCCCTCCCTGCCTGCCCGCAACAGCCCGCTAAGAGGGTTGGTACGTGGGGCACCAGTATGTAAATGTGGGCATCCATGACGCTACCTGGGTACGCACGCTACACTGATAAAGACGTCCACTCCCACGAGATGGAAATGCTATGCGTTGTCAAACCCGAGTTCCCATAATCGTGACTAGTGATATGAGCATCAATTCAACGCAAAGGACCAGTCATGGAGCACATGGTCTCGAGGCCAGTTGTGTGCGGCTTGTCTGAGTCGCTTATGAGAACCGAATTAATCTGGTGTGCAAGAGCAAGAACCCCAAGTTTGAGTGTTGAACCCTGCATGTACCTACCTCACTGCGTATGGGACGATAGGTACCTGGCGGGTGTAGAAGGGGGCTTGGATTTTGGTCCCAAGGCAGTTGCGAGCCTTCCTAGGTGGCAGGCTCGAACCGCCTTGTCAATGGCCTCCTGAGCTGACCTGCCCTTCCCCGTACAGTATAATGCGGGCACTCCCAACGAAGTCCCAGATCCTGACCGCCTGCTCCTTTGAGCTGGCCGAAGCTGTACCCCACCATTTGCGCCCTGGCAAGCCAATCCTAAACTGCCTAGGCTAGGCAGTTTGTAGCAACAAGGTAGGCTTGGGTGAGGTGTACCGTACTCGCTCCATTTGTGTGCAGTGGTTTTGATAATCGCTGGAATTTCGAACACTCGACTCCTGCCATTATCCCACCAGCATACACGCCCCTACCGAACTCACCTCAAACCCCACCAACCGCCTTCGTCTCTGTCCCTGGCGCAATAGGACAACTGAAGCGCCGGCCACAGATGACCGACGTCTCTTGTGTCCCATCTCACACGCCGTCGCAATGAACGAAGTCGCAGCCGAACCTGTCGCCAACGGCGCTGATTCTGGCTCTGCCAATGTCGACTTCGTGGCTCTCAAAGGAGCTCTGACCTCCTCTTCCACCAGAGTCAGAGTCGATCAGCTGCGCGCACTACAAGAACGCATAACCCAAAAGAGTACGTCCTGCCACAATGCCCACCGATCGACCTCGTTGCGATTCCGTAGCCTCAACCTGACCTGTACCTCGCAGAGTTCGACCTGTCCCTCGTTCCCAAGCTTCTTCAGCTCCTGTTCTGGACACATGCCTTTTACGTCGACCGCCAGTCCCGTCTTGGTGCGCAAAAATGCTTGTCTGCCCTGCTGGCTAGCGGCCTGGAACCCGAATTGCTAGCCAAACTTGCCTCCATTCTGCGGGCCGAATCTGTAAAGCCTGGCATTGCCATCACCAGCGCTTTCGTGCTTGTCGAATGGTGCAGCATCTTCATGCAAGAACTGTCAGGCACGCCATCTTGGCACCAGGTTGCTCCTCAAATACTGCTTGCCAATGCCGACTCGCTCGAAAAATGCCAGCAACCCGCAGGAAGAGGCACTGTTGCCCGCGCCGCCATTGTCGTGACCCGGAGAGGTTTGCGAAAGCTGTTCGCCCCTACCGCCGACTTGGAGAAGACCGTGAAGGAGGCTGTCGAACTTCTCACGGCCAAGGCTGCGCAGCCTACCGCCAAGAACGCTATCCTTCTCGGTGTTATCGCTGGGGTCGCCTCTCGCAAGCCTGACGCTGGCGCAGTCTTGGAGACTCTGAAGGCGTCCTACTTCGCCTTCTACACCAGAGAGGTTGTGGGCTCTCGTGTCGCCGTGCCTGATCATGTCGCTGCTGGTTTGCGTGACTTCTTCTCCGATTTTGTCACATTGGACGAGCTCACCAAAGACGTCATCCCAACTATCGAGAAGGGTCTGCTGAGAGCCCCTGAGATTGTTTTGGAGGTCCTCGCTCCTCTCGTCCGCTCTCTCCCGCCTTCCCATGATCTTTCACAAATCCTAAGCGAGCGTTTGCTCAAACCCATCTTGGCCAATGTCAAATCTAGCAACCCTGCTATCAGGTCAAGCACTGTCGCCGCCTTCGACCTGATTGCATCCAGAAGCCACGATGGCAAGGCCCTGGAAAAGGCCTGCGATGAGGTCGTTGCTCCTTTGAAGGGAGGAAAGTTGGCGTCTGCAGACCACAGGATTCTTCACTGCGAGATGCTCTTGGCCCTCCCGCAATCTGATACGGTTGCTGAGAAGATTGCCACGGCCCTCGCAACGGTGACTGCGAAGGAAGGAAATGAGGCAGCCGTAGCAGCAGAAACTGCGGCCTTGGCCAGATCAACCTCACATCTTCTACAGTCGGATCTCGACGTGCCCAAGCCCGTCCTAGACGCCTTTATCAAGGGTGTGGCAGACAAGAAACCTGCGCTTCGGAGGATCTGGATCCTCCGCGCTGGAGAGGTTATTGGAGACGTAACCAAAGTCCAGTCAACATCGTCTTCCACCCTCAAATTCGCCGAAGGCATCTTACCAAAGCTCGTGGATGCACACAATGAAGTTGTTGCGAACCCACAATTGGCTGCCCAAAACAACGCCACCATTGGCGCTTACGTCGTCGTGGCTCTCCTGTGCTCTGCCTCTGGTAGCAAGCTTTTTGGAGCCGTCAAGCTGCCTACCCCGAGGGCATCAATCCTCAAGCAGGCTATGACTTTGGATCCGAAACCTTCCTTCCTACTCAACCCTCGCGTCTATGGAAAAATCGCTACAGAGGACGAGCTCACTTGGATGTCCCGCGCTCTTGCATCGGCCGCATCTGGCCTCACCGTTGCTACCCCCAGCGATGTCAAAACTGCTTGGTCGGAAGCCTATATCTACCTGATTTGTGCCTCGGCTGTCACGCCCAAGATTCGACAATTGGCCCTTGATAGCCTATCAAGCCTGTACGCCGCTCAACCAGCGTTGATTTCCACAGCAATCGTGGGTGCCATCTGGCACTGGCTCGAGGCGTTAGATGCGGGTGAAAAGGATACTGCGGCTGTGTTAGCTCGAACAGAGCGAAACAGCCTTCACCTCGTAGTCAGGGCCATTTGCCTGTCTCCAAAAGACTGGCAAGACCGAGAAATAGTACCTGAAGAGCAGCATCTAGAGCGCCAGCTTTGTGCTCTATTTGTGCTCGCACGGCCAGAGCTTCTGCCAAGGTCGAACTGGATCGATCTCTGTCTGCGCGTAGAGAAGGATCCTGGTGACCTGGCTCGTCGGTACGAAGCCGATCTACTCGACGAGATCCGCAACAAATCGGGTGCAGAACAAAGTTCTGCGTTGGTCAAAAAGGCTGCGTGCAATGCTGCCGCCGAGCTCGCCTTTGTTGCACCCGAGACTATGACGCCTCGCATTGTTGAACTTATCGAGCAGGACCTTGAGGTTGAGGAGTTGAAGAAAATTGGACCTCTGGAGGCTGCAATCTACAGAACACCAGAGGGCACGGCATTCGTGGACGTGCTGGCCAAAAAAGCACAAGACGCCGTCCCGGACAAAAACAACAAGGACTACGATATCCTCAAATGGGAGGCTGAGCTTCGCTCGTCGTTGGCACAGAAAAAGGGGCAGCAGAAGAAGCTGACCGCCGAGGAAACGGCACGCGTCAACGCCCAACTGAAGAAAGAATCTGCCATCCGGCACTCTATACGTCTGCTCGAAGCCAGGCTGTTCAGGGGCATCGGTATCATTCAGAGCCTTGCCTCAGGCCCTCCCACAGAGGCAGCCCTGTGGATGGGCCCTGTGATTATGGCCCTACTCGGCGTGATTGACGCTGGAGCCAGCATGTTGACCGGCGAAGCCGCATCTACTGCTTATCTCGCCTGCTCTGAGAAGATCTCGAGCAGATTGGGTCCTTTCAGGCCTTTTGTTGGCGTAGCTACACTTCGTGCACGGGGCGTAACATCCCTGCCCGAGAGCCAGATGCAAGAGCCAGTTGAAGAGCTCGTAACACGAGTGTTATATCGTCTTCGATTTTCTGGCGAGCAGCGCCCTTTCGATGCCATCTCTCTTACCTACACTCTCCCTCTCATCTTTTTCATTCTCGAGAGTGGTGGTCTTGGGTCGACGCCTGATGATCGCGATACCCAGCTTGTCCTTGCAATCGAATTCCTTAGCTTCCACACAAACGTATGCGAAGATCAGACAACACCACGAGGCCAAGTGCTGTCCGTCTTGGTCACTGCAATGCAGCAGTACACTCAACACTTCAAGATCATCAAGGATTGCTTCGCCGACGCTTGTCGCTGTATAGCTCCGAACATCACTTCAGAAGAGATCGGAGTACTGGCTCGTGGCTCCTTGGTTCCACAGGTCTCTGTGAGATCCACCGTTCTCCAGTCAATCAGCGCTGAGGTTGACATGAGTGAAGCGGTCTTTTCGACAGAGATCTGGCTTGCTTGCCATGATGACGTCGAAGAGAACTCTGAGCTTGGTAGAGAGATTTGGACGGAAGGCTTCGAGGTGTCAGAGAAGCTAGCTTTCGAGATGTTGCCCTACCTGTCCAGTAAGGACGGTCAATTGCGACGAGCTGCAGCTCGATCACTAGCCGAAGCTAGCAGTGTGCATCCGCAGGTCATCGAACCGCTGATTGAAAAGCTTGAAGAGACGTATGCCGAACTTGCTAAGCCTCGCCAGCAGGAGCTCGATCAGTACGGCATGCCAAAGAAGCTTGACCTTGCCGACCCTTGGGAGGGTCGTCACGGCATTGGTTCGGCCTTCAAGGAGCTGGGTCCTCATATGAAGAAGCAACAGCTAGATCCCTTCTTCGACTTCCTTATCCAGAAGGGGCCCCTGGGAGACCAGAACGCTGCAGTTCGAAGTGAGATGCTAGAAGCCGCCATTGGCGCTATCGATTATCACGGAAAGAGCATGATAGTCAGGCTGATGGTCGCTTTCGAGAATACCCTGGAGGGCCCGGACAAGAGCACCGAGGCCGCTGATCGCGTCAGTGAGGCCGTCATTATCATGTACGGCGCGCTGGCGAAGCATCTTAAGAAAGGAGATGCCAAACTCCCGATTGTGGTTGAGCGGCTGCTGGCCACTTTAAGCACGCCGTCGGAGACCGTTCAGTACGCCATCGCCGAATGTCTCCCTCCTCTGGTTCAGGCATGCCGGGACCAGACTCCCAAATACTTTCAACAGGTCCTGGGCGTGCTTCTTACGTCGAAGAAGTATTCTGAGCAGCGAGGTGCTGCATACGGACTTGCTGGTCTCGTGCAGGGTTGCGGCATCTCCACCCTGAAAGATCATCGCATCATGACCACGCTCAAGGGTGCAATTGAGAATAAAAAAGAAGCCAGTCAGCGCGAAGCTGGCCTCATGGCGTTGGAGCTTCTGTCATCGCTGCTTGGCCGGATTTTTGAGCCTTATGTTATTCAGATTGTGCCTGAATTGCTGACAGGCTTCGGCGATAGTAATGCAGATGTCCGCGATGCTTGTCTTGCTGCAGCCAAAGCTTGCTTTGCTAAGCTGAGCTCCTATGGCGTCAAGCAAATTCTTCCGACACTGCTCCGTGGTCTGGATGACCAGCAATGGCGCAGTAAGAAGGGTGCTTGCGACCTTCTCGGTGCCATGGCCTATCTGGATCCCCAGCAACTGGCTCTGAGCCTGCCCGATATCATCCCCCCCCTAACCGCAGTCCTGAACGACAGTCACAAGGAGGTCAGATCGGGGGCGAACAAGAGTCTGAAGCGATTCGGCGAAGTCATCAGCAACCCCGAGGTCAAGGGTTTGGTTGACATCCTCCTGAAGGCCCTCAGTGATCCCACCAAGTACACCGACGACGCTCTCGATGCTCTGATCAAGGTTCAGTTCGTTCACTACCTTGACGCCCCATCCTTGGCTTTGGTAACAAGGATCCTTCAACGAGGTCTCGGCGAGAGGTCAAACACAAAGCGCAAGGCTGCTCAGGTCATTGGCAGTCTGGCTCACTTGACCGAGCGGAAGGACCTCATCTCTCACCTCCCCATCTTAGTGGCTGGTCTCAAACTTGCTATCGTGGATCCAGTACCGACGACGCGTGCGACGGCATCAAGGGCACTGGGTTCTCTGATGGAAAAGCTAGGCGAAGAGGCACTGCCAGACCTCATTCCAGGCCTCATGCAAACCCTTAAGGCCGACACCGGAGCCGGAGACCGTCTGGGATCGGCGCAAGCTCTCAGCGAGGTCCTTGCCGGTCTTGGAACGACAAGGCTCGAGGAGACGCTTCCCACGATTCTCCAGAACGTGGAGTCGTCCAAGCCTGCCGTTCGCGAAGGCTTCATGTCTCTGTTTATCTTCTTGCCCGTATGTTTCGGAAACAGCTTCGCCAGCTATCTCGGGCGCATCATCCCGCCCATCTTGGCTGGTCTTGCCGATGATGTTGAGTCTATTCGTGAGACCGCGCTTCGCGCTGGCCGCTTGCTTGTCAAGAACTTTGCCATGAGGGCCGTGGACCTCTTGCTCCCTGAACTCGAGCGCGGATTGGCTGACGACAGCTACCGTATCCGTCTGAGCTCCGTGGAACTTGTCGGTGACCTTCTATTCAACCTCACCGGCATCACTGGTAACGCTGAACCTGGTGAGGAGGAGGAGGAGATGGCCAGAGAAGCCGGCGCCTCTCTGCGTGAAGTGCTCGGCGAGGAGAAGCGCAACAAGATTCTCTCTGCACTCTACGTCTGCCGCTGCGATACTGCCAACGCTGTTCGCTCTGCTGCCATTGGTGTCTGGAAGGCGCTTGTCTCGAGCCCCCGCACCCTCAAGGAACTCGTGCCGACTCTCACGCAACTCATCATCCGTCGCCTGGGAAGCTCCAACATGGAGCACAAGGTTATTGCAAGCAACGCCCTTGGCGAGCTCATTCGCAAGGCCGGTGATGGCGTGTTATCTACGCTCCTGCCCACTCTCGAAGAAGGACTTCAGACCTCGACGGACTCGGACTCTAAGCAGGGCATCTGTCTGGCTCTCAAGGAGCTCATCTCGTCTGCATCTGAGGAGGCTTTGGAGGACCATGAAAAGACCCTCATCTCGGTCGTCCGAACAGCACTCACTGACTCTGATCCCGAGGTCAGAGAAGCCGCTGCCGAGGCCTTCGACTCTCTACAGCAGATCCTGGGTAAGAAGGCTGTGGACCAAGTTCTTCCTTACCTCCTCAACCTTCTGCGCTCAGAAAACGAGGCCGACAATGCTCTGTCTGCTCTTTTGACTCTTCTCACAGAGACGACACGATCCAACATCATCCTCCCCAACTTGATCCCCACACTCATCACACCGCCCATTACTGCTTTCGATGCCAAGGCGCTCGCCTCGCTGTCCCGCGTTGCTGGTGCCGCCATGAACCGGCGCCTGCCCAATATCATCAACTCTCTTATGGATAACATTGTCAATTGCAAAGAGGATGACCTACGCGCTGATCTGGAGACATCCTTTGACACTGTCATTCTGTCGATTGACGAGTATGACGGATTAAATACGGTAATGAATGTGCTTCTGCAACTTACCAAACACGAAGACCATAGGCGACGCCAGGCGACGGCAAATCATCTCGCCAAATTCTTTGCTGCTGGCGAGGTCGATTATTCACGATACAACCAAGATATTATCAGGTCGTTGCTTGTTTCGTTTGATGATGGAGATATCGATGTTGTCAAGGCTTCCTGGACTGCACTCAACGAGTTCACGCGAAAGCTCAAGAAGGAGGAAATGGAGGCGCTCGTGTTCTCAACACGCCAGGCCTTGCAGCATGTTGGTGTCGCTGGCGCAAGCCTGAAGGGCTTCGAGCTACCAAAGGGCATCAACGCTGTTCTGCCTATATTCTTGCAGGGTCTGATGAATGGCACAGCAGAGCAACGCACGCAAGCTGCCCTGGCTATTTCCGACATTGTGGACCGTGCCAGTGAGACGGCGCTCAAGCCGTTCGTCACGCAGATTACTGGACCCCTCATTCGTGTGGTGTCCGAAAGGTCTACCGAAGTCAAGGCTGCTATTCTCCTAACTCTCAACAATCTGTTGGAGAAGATGCCGATTGCACTGAAGCCCTTCTTGCCTCAACTTCAGCGCACATTCGCCAAGTCGCTGGCTGACACGACAAGTGAACTCTTGCGCGCTCGCGCTGCCAAGGCTCTGGGGACTCTGATCAAGTATACTCCTCGCATCGATCCCCTCATCGCCGAGCTTGTAACGGGATCGAAGACATCTGACGCGGGTGTCAAGACTGCCATGCTGAGCGCTTTGTACGAGGTTATCAGCAAGGCCGGCGCTAACATGGGCGAATCGTCGCGTGCCGCGGTGCTGGGCCTAATTGATATGGAAGGCGATGAAAAGGACTCTGCAATGACCATCACGAGCGCCAAGCTTCTGGGAGCCCTGATTAAGAACGTTCCCGAGGATGCCGCACATGGTCTTCTGAGGAACCGTGTCATCACAAACCAAATCAGCAAGTCCTCCGTGCTGGCACTAAACGCAGTGCTTGTGGAGTCACCGGAAAGCTTGCTCAGCGGGCCGCTGGCCGACGACCTCCCTGAGGTTCTCTGCCACGGTATGACAAATAAGACTGTAAGTGAAAACAAGCATGTGGTGGCTTTTTGCACCCCACTAACTATATCGGCAGCCTTTCATCGCCGACAACTTCATCCTTGCCACAGGCAAGTACTTGCTTTCGGAATCGCCCAAGACATTTGAAGCCAACAAGAAGATATTTGAGACACTGGCAGGCATCATCCAGCCTGGCCAGCCAACAGACTCCCGCCGTCTGGCTCTGGTGGTTGCACGAACCTTGAGCCGCGTTGACATGGACATGGTACGCCCGCACACGCCTCTGCTCGCCACGCCTGTGTTTGCGAGCGTGAGGGACCCTGTGATCCCCGTTAAGCTTGCGGCAGAAGCCGCTTTCGTCAGTCTATTCAACGTGGCGGACGAGGAAAGCAAGGTATTTGACAAGTATGTGGATAATGCTGGTCTTGCGCCCAACGCAAAGAGGAGCATGCAGGACTACTTCAAGCGTGTGGCTCTCCGGCTGGGAGCTCAGGTGCGTGAGAGAAGAGAGGCAGAGGGCGGACAGGGTGGACTGGGATTGTCCAATGATGAGGTCGAAGACGAAAAGGAGATTTGGAGTGTGGGCAAGGTAGATGTGGGAGAGGACATTTTCGGCAAATAGGTGCCACCTGCGATTTGATTTCCAAAGAAATTAGAATACAAGGAACAGCTGTTTCTCGTGGACACGTCCGTGACGGGGGGGTTGATCGTATTCTGGTGAATGATCCTGGTGTCACTTGCTGGTCTGATCAATGAGCGTGTGCAGTAAAGACAAGAGTGGCCCAGGCCGACCATCCCAGGTACTTGATGTAACTGCATAGAGACTGCGTAATGCTTTCGGTATGCATTAAACAGTTATATAACCTCCGAATCGAATTGATGGGCTTTGTCACGTGACCATCATCATGAATCATCCGGCAGGAGCCCTCGCTTAGTGGGACGAATCGTCCGCCACGCCTGGGCTGGGCTCCACCCAACCCACAAGCACGTCTCGAAAATCTGAACTGAACTCGACACCCGCCTCCGTTCCCCTCTTCAGCTTTTCTCAACGACCAACTAACCCGGGCACGACCATCCGCCAGGACAGCATTCAAGATGTAAGTTGGCTACGAGAGATTCATTGAGAGATTGAGCAGCGGTACGGGTGCGATGCTGGGAGATTCGATCGAGATGTATTTTCGACACCCGCAAACGATCCGCCCCTGTGCAAGAAGGCACAGCGAGGGGCCAGTTTGACGACACGAGAGGAGCCAGCAACTTGCACGACAATTTTTACTCTCCCACAACCAAGATCAACGACGTCCAATTCTCCCAGCACACCACTCCGCCAGCCGCGACTCAACATGGAAATGACGAGGGGAACAAAAATTGATAATTACGACCTGATACTAATGTTCGGTGCCTCACAGGGTCAACCTCCGCACCCAGAAGCGCCTGGCCGCGTCGGTCATCGGCTGCGGTGAGCGCAAGATCTGGCTCGACCCCAACGAGGTCAGCGAGATCAGCAACGCCAACTCCCGCCAGTCCATCCGCAAGCTCGTTTCCGATGGCCTCATCATCCGCAAGCCCGTCACCATGCACTCCAGGTCTCGCGCCCGTGAGCTCAACCTTGCCCGTCGCATCGGTCGTCACCGTGGCTTCGGTAAGAGGAAGGGTACCGCCGACGCCCGTATGCCCAGGTTTGTGCTCTCCCTGAACAAATCATCAGACGCCACGAGAGGGACGTTGATTCTGACCCCCGAAATAGCCAGGTCCTCTGGATGCGCCGCCTCCGCGTCCTCCGCCGTCTCCTGGTCAAGTACCGCAACAACGGCAAGATTGACAAGCACCTGTACCACGAGCTCTACCACCTGAGCAAGGGTAACACCTTCAAGCACAAGCGCGCCCTTGTCGAGCACGTACGTATTCCATGGAGCAGCCGATCCGAGATGGGACAGCGGATGACTGACACGGCTCGTACAGATCCACCGTGCCAAGGCCGAGAAGGCCCGCGAGAACGCCCTCAAGGAGGAGATGGACGCCAAGCGCGCGAAGACCAAGGCCGCCCGCGAGCGCAAGGTGGAGAGGCAGACTGCCAAGCGCAACGCTCTTATGGGCGATGTCGAGGAGGAGACCAAATAAATGAAGACGACTGCATCTCGATCACGGTCCTGAGGAGGCTACATTCGGAGTCATCGGGTTGGGTCATTCTTTTTTTTGCGTCCTACTTGGCCGTCGCGGTGACGAGCAGGGCTTTGGCATGTAGCATTGAAAAAATGGAATGCGTCGACATGCAAATGAAAAGACATGACACTCTTACTTGGCTCGGTCTGCACTTCTTTTGCATGTCTGTAAAAATGCCAAGGCTCCACGAGCTCGATACCCTAGACATCAGTTATCAGGAACACTAAAAAAAACAGGGAGTGGGAAAGTGGAGGTTTCCAGTCAATGTTTGTGTGCCTCAGTGTTACAAAATCGTGTCATGGCGCAGGTGATAGGGCCCGACCTTTGGGTACGGTACGTTGACCGTGGGCCAGGTACGAGGTGTGAAATTGATTTGTGGCTTTAGGACTTTTTCTTGCGTTCACGATGCGAGCGATGTCGAGAAGTGTCACATCACTTTGGAAATCGCGTCGTTACAAGGGTATGCGAAAACAGCTTGTCAGTTGCTCACAAGGTCGCAGCAGCAGCAGCATCACATTTCTCCCATTGCCGATTCAGGAGCACCGAGTCGGGGCACCGAGTCAAAAATGGAGCGGCGCCAGATATGGGCCGCAGCGGGACGGGTGCACAAATGGGAGGGGGGGGCGAGGGCAATGGCGGCCAGGCTTGGGAGACAAAAGATTGGGTAAGAGTTGGGTAAATGAGCATTGGAGGTAGCCAAAAAGAGACAACGAAAGCACGAACAACATGGATTGGATCAGATTGCTTCAGAATTGTCCCTGCAAAGGTGGTGAGGTGTGCCGGGACATGTCAGCATGCTCCCGCCGTGAGGCGGAATGAGCAGTATGCGAGTTTTGAAAGCGGTCTCATCATCTCCAATTTAGTTGTAAAGAAGAGAAGAAGAGAAAGGGCAGGCAGCGCCGAGGAGGGCGACTGGCCAATTTATTGACGGCTCCCTCTCTCTCGCTCACGCACGTACACACTGACAGGCCCACGACGCAGGCGAGAGGGCACTGTGAGCCAGTAGCAACCTCCAGTCCCGATTTTCTGCTTATCTAACGGGCACCGTGCCGGCCTGCCCCAGCCCTCTCTTCCGTTCTTTCGTCACAGGGAAGGACTTGGGGGGCAAAGTGGAAGGTGCAGGCAAGGGGGGGCCGGTAGATGGGCAGTGGCTGGCGCGTGCACAGCGTTGTCGGCTCTCAGGCATGTGGAGCTCGCCTTCCCTCTCTCGGGCGGGGTGATTGACGGATGACCGCTTGGATTCGGCTCTACCAGCCGGAAAGGAAACCACAGTGCCTCTTGGAGCTTCCCTCTTGTGGCAAGTTGCTCGACGCACGACTCCAATCCCCGCCGACACCGCCCGTTGTCGACTCACTCCTACCCATTCCTACTTTAACCAGCCGTCCCCCCCTCCTGTCAAGCCATTGTTCGGCTCAAGTGGTGTCCCAGGACAAACGATTGAAGACCCGGGGCCGTACCTCTCCGCCGCCATGTCTGCCTCCGCCCTCCGAAGCACGTCTCGTGCCTTGCGCCGTTGCGCCTCGCCCGCCGCCGCCGCCATAATCAAGAGGCCAACCGCCCATGCTCGATCGGCGCCTGTCCTCCTGTCGCGTGGAGCTGTCAGGCCGCTGTCTTCCCTGAATGTCGAGGGACAGCAGCAGGTAGGAAGTTTTGCTGCATCAATTGACCACCGCCATGGACTGACGCGTTGGTGGTGTACACAGCTTCTCTCGAGCAACCTGCAGCAAGCCGACCCGGCCGTCTTCGACATTATCGAGAAGGAAAAGAACAGGCAGAAGCACTTCATCAACCTCATTCCTTCCGAGAACTTCACATCTCAGGCCGTGCTCGACGCCCTGGGCAGTGTCATGCAGAGTAAGCCAGAAAACCAACCTCGGTAACCTCGAGATGGTATACATCTAACGCCCAGCGAAGATAAGTACTCCGAGGGCTATCCCGGAGCGAGATACTACGGCGGCAATGAGTTTATCGACCAGTCGGAACGGCTGTGCCAGCAGCGTGCGCTGGAGGCCTTCGATCTCGACCCCTCCCAATGGGGCGTCAACGTCCAAGGTATGTAGACACACGCACGAGAAAATACTACCCACGGGGCGATTCTTTTTTTTTTTCCGCTTTTCTCGCTCTGGGTGACTGACCTCTCTTTCTTCTCTCAGCCCTCTCCGGTGCGCCGGCCAACCTCTACGTGTATTCCGCCCTCATGAACACCCATGACCGCCTCATGGGCCTCGACCTGCCTCACGGCGGCCACCTGTCCCACGGATACCAGACTCCCACCAAGAAGATCTCAGCCATCTCCAAGTATTTCGAGACAGTGCCTTACCGTCTAAATGAGACCACGGGAATCATTGATTACGACAAGCTCGAGGAGATGGCCATCATTTACCGGCCCAAGATCATCGTCGCTGGCGCTAGTGCCTACAGCAGCCTCATCGACTACAAGCGCATTCGCGAGATCTGTGACAAGGTAGACGCCTACCTCCTCGCCGACATGGCTCACATATCCGGTCTCGTTGCCGCCAAGGTCCTGCCCAGTCCATTCTCATTTGCCGACATCGTCACAACCACTAGCCACAAGAGCTTGAGGGGGCCTCGCGGCGCCATGATCTTCTTCCGCAAGGGCGTGAGGAGGCAGAATGCCAAGACCAAAGAGGACGAGCTGTACAACCTCGAGAACCCCATCAATTCCTCTGTCTTCCCCGGTCACCAAGGCGGCCCCCACAACCACACCATCACGGCCCTCTCGGTCGCGCTCAAGCAGGCCCAGACCCCCGAATTCCGCGCCTATCAGACCCAGGTCCTCTCCAACGCAAAGGCCCTAGCCCACCGTCTCGGGGAGTCCAAGGAGAAGGGCGGCCTTGGCTACAAGCTCGTCGGTGGCGGCACGGAGAATCACCTCGTGCTGGTCGACCTCAAGCCCCAAGGCATTGACGGCAGCCGCGTCGAGCGTGTGCTGGAGCTCGTCGGCGTCGCATCCAACAAGAACACCGTGCCTGGTGACCGCTCGGCGCTTGTACCCGGCGGCCTGCGTATCGGCACCCCGGCCATGACGACGAGGGGTTTCAGCGAGGAGGACTTTGGCCGCGTCGCTGATATCATCGACCGCGCCGTCACCATTACTGTGCGCATCGATAAGGCGGCCAAGAAGGCGGCCGCCGAGCGCGGCGAGAAGAAGCCTGGCCTGCAACGCATCTTCATGGCACACCTGGGCAACGGCGACTCGGACCCCGAGATTGTGCAGCTGCGGTCCGAGGTGTCAGACTGGGTTGGAACCTACCCACTTCCCTGGGTGTCCTCGCGCGCATAGAGCGGCCGGGTGAGACATGTGTGATCGAAAGACGAATGAAATGTACTTACAAACTTGAAGATTGACTCATCGTGTGTCTGCTTACCGACTTCCTCCTGTCACGGCGGCCACATGGTACTGGTGCACGATGATGCAAGAAAATCACTTTTTTTTTCTGTCTCTTTTTCTTGCAAATGGAGTTGCGGGCTGGCGTCTTAACTCGTTATGCTGCGTATGTACCTGTATCTACCTCACACTAGATAGGCTACCGAATCTTCAACAGGTTTCACGCACAGTGCAGTCGGATGTTGTTTTGACACGACAGCAGGCTTTGACAGAACCGGATCAAAGGGGCACCTCCATATCCACCGTTCAGTACACTAGATGGCCATGACGCACCCGGGTGCCGTGCCCTGCACACGTCGGCTTGGTCTTCTCAGGTGGAATTAACTTTGGTTCGTTCCTTGAATTAATTTATTTTGAACCTCCAGATTCCGGGCTACATTGTCAACTATTGCGCCTTTGAGACATCATCAGTCTTTTTCGCAGCACCAAGCGCGAGAGCCTTTGCTTCGCAGTCTTCTTCTTTGCCGCTGCCTCTGAGTTTCCCTCTGCTGTCCCCCTTCCCTCTGTCTTTACCTATTCCTCTGCTTTTACCCCTGCATCTCCCTCTGCTGCTGATTTTGCCCCTCCTTCTGTCTTTGCCTCCGTTGCAGGTTGAGGCTCCGGCTTTGTTTGTGTCTCTGCCGCCGCCACCGACGGCGGCTCAACAGCCAATACTTTCATCGTAGCCTCCCTCTCCGAAAACGCTTGATAATACTTCTTCAAGGACTTCGTACCGTTTAGGACCCCCTCGCCGAGCGTCTGCACAATATCGTGCAGGACCGGCCAGACGGCAAAGTCGGCAATGGATACGACCTCACCTGCGATGCTCTCATCTTCGGCGGCATAATCGTTCCAGACTGTGAGTTCCCGTTTCAGTGGCTTGGCTGGTTGCTTCACAGTCACATCCTCTGTTTCCTGCGATCTGATAGCGCGCCACTTGTCAAGGAGGGCGAGGCCCTGCTGGAAGCGCGTCAAGATGCGGGCGTGGCCCGTGCTGGGCTCACTTCGCTTCCCGTGGAGGCCATCGAGGTAAAGCAGAATGGCCATGTCTCCCTGCGCCGTCGACCGGTCGGCATCATTATCCACGTACTTGATGGACAGACTCTCGAGAGCCGACGAGATGACAACGGGAACGGCGGCCTCGGCTTTCCCATCCTTCCGGTCAACGGATGGCGGCATGCGGCCCTTGGCGAAGAGAATGCCCTGCTCGGCCAGTGCGAGCTGTACGCGCATGTTGACGATGCCATCGGCGGAAAAGAACAAGCGTGGTGCGCTGCTCATATGCAGCACGTCAAAGCCCTGCCCGTAATGCGCATCCCAGTCAAACTCGCTTGCGTGGTTCTCGGTTCCAAAGGCACGCAGCATGGCTACGGCCTCGGGTCCTTGCCCGTTGACGACAGGGTGGGCATCAGCGCGCGTCTTGCCCTTGGCGCCTTGGCCCCAGATCAGGGTGCCATCGCGGTCAAGGAAGGTTCCGATATGGCGGAACGTCAAAGAGATGCGGCCGCCGGCAAAGGCAAGCTCGGGTGCTGTCTTGTCTCGTTCGGCACGCTTGTCTTGGCGGATGGCGTGGAGCCATCGCATGTTTGTCACGAGGCCCATGCGGCAGAGGGAGTTATGTGGCAGCTGCTTGCGCGTTGTCTTGCGCTTCGCACCCTCGGGGATGTTATCTGTTTTCTTCGAGGGATCTTTCGCGTCCCGCTTGGTTCTGAATATCATGGTTCTCTCGGCGCCTAGACTGACATTAACAATGTAAGAACCCTTGACAATATCGAGCGTCTTATCGCTGTGCTCGGAAATGTAGTCGTTTCCGTCCCGGTAGTACTGGATTAAGACGTGATTGAGTGGGTGACCCAGCTTCTCCTCGACCACAGCTTTGATCTCAAGAACTGTCTTGGTGAAAGGAAAGAGCGGGGGCGACTCGTCTGCGGGATGTCGGTATACAGGCATGCTACTATCTTCGGCAACGAGTCCCTGGACAGCTACCTTGCGCGGAACCTCGCCGCCTTGATGCGACATGGTCTGCCAACCAACCTCATCCTTTAATTTTTCAAACACGCCGTCGAGCAATTTGGGCGGTAGGACATTGTGGATGATGACAGTATCACCCTCGCAGAGTGGCTCGGAGGTCTCTGGTAAAGCATCTGCGGCGGCAGGATCATGTTCATGCTTCGAGGTCGAGTCCGAGGAGGCGGTGGCGGGCACCGTGACTTCTGGTTCGATGATCTTCGGTTCGAGACCCTTGCCTACGCGTGCCGGGACGACAGTTCCGGGCTTGTTTGGAGCTGCCAAGTCTGCCAGCCGGGGCTGCTTGAGTTTCCTGGCTTGTGATGTGTCCATCCTTGTATCTTTGGAAGTTCTGTACTTGTTTCTGATCGCCTCCAGGTCTAGGATTGGGTCGCGGTCATCAGTTGACGATGGTTTGCGCCTCGGGCTATTGAGGTCGTGTGAGGACGGCTGGGCATCGGGGTCGACCTCCAGCGCCAGGCTGTTAGGATCAGATTCGGGTTCAATGCGACCGCCGGGGGTACTGCCGATTTTGAGAGCAGCCAGCTTCTCGTGTAGGTCAGACGTCGACGCCTTGCCACGCACACGACCTGGAATGGGCGGGGTCCTGGCGCCGGCTAGACCACCAACCTTCTTGTTGGCTGTCGTGGCAGAAGAGGAAGAAGTGGCCGGTGTTGCGACAGCGGGTTTTGCGGACGCAGGTTTCGCCTGCAGCTGTTCAAGGACTGTGCTGCTGCTGTCGACTTCGCATCCAGTGACATCAATGACTGACTGGATGGCGTTCCCATGCCTTACTTGCGAACGATAGCCGCAGCAGTCGTCGACGATGGTTATGTCGTAACCGTACATGGCGGCGTCAAGAGCCGTGGCAAAGACGCCAATGTTCATCAGGGAGCCGGCTATGAAAATGTGCGTGATGAACTTGCCGCGTAGCAGATGAAGGAGCTGGCCCGACTTGAAGGCCGAGTAATGCGATTTGATGAAAGTGACATCGCGCTTCAGCGATGCGTCCTTGACGTTGGCAGGGATTTGTGAGCCGGAGGGCGAGCGAACGCATGGAATGCCGCCAGCACTGAGAAAGGCTTCGGGGTCGGTATCAGCGACGGGAGCTGGGATGAGTTCCACTTTGGGGCCTCGCCGCCGACCGGAGGCAGCTCCGGCAGCAGTGACAGCGCTCGGCTTCGGGGTCTCGTCGGTCGCCAGTATTTGCTCGCCGGCTATGGGCCGCACCTTGTCAAACTCGGAGCATACCCAAATGACGTCGCCCAGCTGGCGAAACGCGTCGGCAAACTGCACAGTCTTTTCGACGAACCCATGGGGCCTCGTGACGCGCAGGGGGGCTTCAGCATCGAGAAAATCGCTTTGAAAATCAATCACCAGGAGAGCCTTGCGTTTGGGAAGGCTCGGTAGGGCCGACTGGTCAAACGGGAACATGGTCTGTCAATGGGTTTGAGGGCCAGTGGTTGGGTCCGTGGCACATGAGGACTGAGGCGTAGTGTAGACAAGAAACGCTGCCGGCGTAAGTCGCCCGGACGGAAGAGGTTGAAGGGTGAAGACCTGGACGAGTGAGCGGGTGAGCGGGGTCTCATCAAGCGAGCAGAGGTCGCGTGGCTGCAGCTATCACTGTAGCCGGAGCCGGACAAGGGACAGGCCAAGTCACATCCGCCGGCCGCGGGGGGGAAGCAAGCAAACGTGAATGGTCATTGAACAGAAAAGCTTAGTTTCGGGTGAGATGAAGTGTACACAGCTAGGCGACGATGAGGGAAACCTCCAGTGCATGCCCGCATGTGTGCGCGCAAATCGATGGATGGTCAAGATTTGACAGGTACCGAATTTGCAGATCCGCGAAAAGAGGGCGGGCGATCAGAAGTCGTATGACAGTTCGAGACGGGCGAAACGGCGACCAACACTTGTCAAGCCAACTTGCTTCGTTGACGTGGCGTCTTTTTGTTTTCTCCATTGCTCTATGATGGAACGTCGAAATGATTCGTGTCGTTCCCGATCAGCTGTTCGATTTGCCCCGTCATAAGAAGATGGGTAAATTCGGCACTTGAATGAGCTGAAGTCTAGATGGCGTTACACAGGGTAAGTTTGAGGCGACCTTGACCGCACTGGGAGCGACCAGGGAGGCTTTAGATAGGTGTGGCCAGGGAAAGCAGGTGCTGAGGACGGGTTGCACCTGAGAGCAAAGCAGCGCCCTCTTCACCGCGGAAGGAGGAGCTGTAGCACTTCAAAATCGATCTTCTGCCGTCGGCACGACGAATCTCTCATCAAGAAGGGTTAAAATGTTGGACAAGCATCACGAGTAAGATGTTCAAAAGACAAAAAGAATGGAGAAGCTGAGCTTCTTGTGGTGTTCTCCCCGACCGGAATCGAGCCGGTGACCTTTCGATTGGAAATGATACCAGTTACAGTCGAACGTGATAGCCAACTACACCACAGGGAGTTGTTGTTGGGGTCTCGCTGGATCCACACGTAGATGACCCCTCAAACAATCATTCCGTCGTGCACGGACTGTCTAGCGGGCTTAGTTGGCACATCAATCACGACGAGCACCATAAATCCGGTGACCCTTTTACGACGGTTGCGCGTGATGGCTTTGATTCATCTTTCTGAAGCATGTAGTTGTTGACTTCAGCTCTTTATTGATACTTTGATCACATGACCAGGTATCTTCTCGCTGTATTTTCACGTTCTGTGTAATGCATTATCCTTTTACACTGTTCGCCCAGTGGGTGTCGCTTTAGGTTTCTTATGGCATGTTGACTCTAAAAGCAGCGAGACTAGCGGAACTGATCGAGTGACTCGGCAAAATCCACCTCCAGTGCACCGTGCTGCGCGACCACGAATTTCCGCGTCAAACGTCGTCACGCCGTCGACAACCACGTCAGCATCCGCGCCTCGCAGAAGCAGCTGAGCCAGGTGCGCCGGCACTCATACAGTTTCTTTGTAGTCTCCAAATTCGCCCGGTACAAGTTCAAACCTATCTTGCCGCTCAGTTTGGCCACCCGTCCGCTCGAGCCTCCCTACCACAGCCGACCCTTTCCCATCATCGCCATGTCAGAAAGCCCACGGAAACGAGGTGCAAGCCTTGAGGCTAGTGACGAGCTCCAGTTCAACAACAAGAGGCAGCGACTCGATGTCGACGGACAGAACGAGGCAGACCAGCCTGACCCTGGGGCGAGCCGCGCAAGCTCTTCCGTCACCATCCCATCACTCGAATACCAATCCCAATGCAGCCTGGAGAGATCTATCGGCCTGGCGTTGAAGCATGTAGGATTCGATGGTGCCGAGCCAACAGCAATGGCTAGCTATGTGTCCCTCGTCGAGACGTGTGCGTTACGATCACTGCCTTCTCCAGCCTGACATGATGCTGACGTGCGGTTTTCAGACCTGGCATCCTTCATCGACGATCTCAAGCGCATAGCTCTGGGCGCCCGCAGAGAGCAGCCGACACCTGCCGATTTCGAGACCACCATGCGGCGGTTCGCCCTCGTCACGTCCTCGTTGAAACCCCACCTCAAGAACCCAATTCCTGAAGAAGACCTGACGCCCTCCTACTTCAACGCCCTGCTGAACGACGAGAGTGCAGATGCCGCTCTGCCACTGCTGTCTGACGAGTTGAGCGGCAGGCACGAGAAAGAGGAGAGAGCCCATATTCCCCGACCTTTTCCGGAGTTCCCAAGCCTCCACACATATCGCTACACGCCGAGAGAGGATGACAGTGGCCGCGACTCCAAGAAGATTCGCGAAGAGGCGGCCAAGGCGTCGAAGCAGGGCGAGGAGGCCCTTCGCGGCCTGGTGCGCGCGTCCAAGATGCGCAAGCAGAAGGAAGTCAGCGACCTGTCGAAGCGCGACACCATTACCAAATCACGATATGAACTCTGGGAGGCCGCTATGAAGAAGTTCGTGAAGCAGGACGGCGGCGAGAGCGGGCAGCTTGAAATTGCCGACCATAGCATGATTGTCAACGCTGATTCGAGATATCTACGGAAACCTGTGCCGCGGCAGGGCAAACGGGCCGGAGGCTCCGGGGCGCAAGGACAGTCCGGCGTTGGCAGCTGAGCTAGCACACTTCTCATGATGGCCGCTTGCCGTGGTCGAGCGGCATACATTCAGGGAGATAATCAAGGCCGTCTTGGCTATATGCACAAGTGTAGGCAGTGGGGGAAGATACATTAGTAATGATACCCGGACGCAATGTCCATATGCCGGTTTGCAAACAATACCAAGTCTCTACCGAATGATGCATCTTAAACCTGCTGTTCGCATGTCAACCCCATTCCAAGGACTCAAAAGCCCAGTCAGAGCCCAAGTATGTGAGGGGAGAAGCGTGTTAAAAGTGCAGTAGAACCATCTCTCCAACACTGTCTAGCTATACATTGCCTGCACATTGCAAAGAAATATGATGAGGCCATGGACTTGAGACTGCGAATGTCGACGTATCCACGATCCCTAGTCCTAAATCCACTTCCGCAATTGGCCTCCACATCGGCTGTGACGCCCCGCTTACAGGACTGCAAAGATGGCAGGGGATCTGGGCACCTGTGCAGGAAGGAAGGAACAGATGGTTGGCTCTCGGTGAAGCCTCGGTGAGGACGTAGGCAGTCGACCACCGAGCTAGCCACACTGGCTCCGATTGGCTCTAGCCCCACGCGAAATCTGCCCTAACCTCAAAATCCGATTTCCCTCCCACAGAAAGCTACGAATTTTGCTTCAGGACTCCGACCTCTCGAACCTGCAACACCGCGACAATCGTCTCTTCCCTTCTCATCTATCTATCTGTGTCGGTAATCGCGCATTGAGAATGGCTGAGCAGCTGGTTCTGAAGGGTACCCTCGAGGGCCACGTAAGTTGACACCCTATTGTCAGTCCATCTTGCCGCAGTCGGAACTTTCTGGCAGGCAAGATGGTGTGCAGAGTCGCTTGCGACATGATTTCAAAAAGAAGACCTGCTAACAGCGCCTTTGCAGAATGGCTGGGTCACCAGTCTGGCGACCTCCATCGAGAAGTAAGCGAACCTCCCACGACACCTTGATCTCGATACCCGTCGAGCATCATGGCGGCACGCCCAGATCGAAACACAGCCTCCAGCGCCAGTCGTACTGAGAATCTTCGATTGCTAACGCCGACACCCTCACAGCCCCAACATGCTCCTGTCCGGTAGCCGTGACAAGACCCTGATCATCTGGAACCTGACCCGCGACGAGTCCCAATACGGCTACCCCAAGCGCTCCCTCCACGGCCACTCCCACATCGTCTCGGACTGCGTATGTTTATTTGACCTCGAAACCACCGACTGAGAGAAGTCGCGATTGCTGTGGACAATGGGCTGATGCAGGACTGGCAGGTTATCTCCTCTGACGGCGCTTACGCCCTGTCCGCCTCGTGGGACAAGACCCTCCGCCTTTGGGAGCTGTCGACCGGCACCACCACCCGCCGCTTCGTCGGCCACACCAACGACGTTCTTTCCGTCTCCTTCTCTGCCGACAACCGTCAGATCGTCTCCGGCTCGCGCGACCGCACCATCAAGCTCTGGAACACTCTCGGTGACTGTAAGTTCACCATTTCCGACAAGGGCCACACCGAGTGGGTCTCCTGCGTCCGCTTCAGCCCCAACCCCCAGAACCCCGTCATTGTCTCCTCCGGCTGGGACAAGCTCGTCAAGGTAAGCCCAAACTCCACCTGTCCCATTCGCGACCTCGCACGAGGGAGCACCACAGCAACCCACATGATGCATTGCAACCAAAAGTATTTGCTACTTCAGAGCCTGTTCGCAGGCCATGAGACCACTATTCACCATATGCACTGATTTTTATTCGACCTTTTTTTTCTTGAATTCTGCTACAAATTGTTACACGGCATACCTGCCATGGCAAAACATGTGCTGATCAGGATAATTGATAGGTTTGGGAGCTCAACACCTGCAAGCTGCAGACCGACCACATTGGCCACACCGGCTACATCAACACCGTCACCATCTCCCCTGACGGTTCCCTGTGTGCCTCCGGTGGCAAGGACGGTACCACCATGCTGTGGGACCTGAACGAGTCCAAGCACCTCTACTCTCTCAACGCCAACGACGAGATCCACGCTCTCGTCTTCTCCCCCAACCGCTACTGGCTGTGCGCCGCTACCGCCACCAGCATCATCATCTTCGATCTCGAGAAGAAGAGCAAGGTTGATGAGCTGAAGCCCGAGTTCACCGCCGTCGGCAAGAAGAGCCGTGAGCCCGAGTGTGTCAGCCTGGCCTGGAGCGCCGATGGCCAGACCCTCTTCGCCGGCTACACCGACAACGTCATCCGCGCCTGGGGTGTCATGTCCAGGGCGTAAAGCACCTAGACATGATAAGTAAAGGGCATTATGTGATGACGTGGAACTTCGGCTGAAGCAGGGGATGGAGGACTGGAGATGATGGTAGATCATGGCGGGCGTCCTAGGCTGGCTTCCTCGTTTGGTCTTTCGGATGCACAGGGTTGGTCAATCAACATCGTTAAGGGGATGGATGATTGCACGCTGGCTAAAAAGGTAGCCATCGAACGGAGACTGGGCATCAACCCAGAAGACGACCCCAATGAAAATCCTGGCACATGAACCAAAATCCGTCGAGTCAAGTGAATGCGAACGTAAATGTTTGGTCTTTTTGAATCTCGCTGTTGAAATATATCAGTCTACCATCGTTGTCCAGATCTCTGTAGTGAATGGCGACGCGTTGGTATTTCACAGGAGAAGGGGCAAGTGTACTAGTTCGTAACTCGTAGATTGCTAGGGTCGCTGCTGTTATGATGGAAGTCACTACATCTCTGCGGGACCTTCTTGGTGACATAAGCATCACTTGAGCCTCAATTCCCAAAGGCATATTTCGCAACACGATATGAAACCTCGGCAGGGTTGGACTTCATGAGAGTACGTCAATGTCTTGAGACATGTTCATCGTAAATACGTCATGCACATCTTATCTATGGGTGAACCTAGAGCTAGAATAATCTTCGGAATTTCTTATTGAGCAGCATTAGTCCTACCCGTAAATGATCATGTAATAACACCCGTGCGATGCTTCCGTGACGAAACGACAGCCTATGCGTGTCTCGGTTGAGCGAACCAAGACCATATGTAGATGGCGTATTATCTGCAAAGTCTTGTGGAATTTACACTCTATTTCCCCTGCTCCTGGTACACTTATGTTCTCGGTTCGTCGCTCGAATCTCCCAGGTGCACTGTTGCCTTCCTGTTCAGACCAACGAAGTAGCCCTCTTTCGAGTCCTATGCCGAGGGTCAATGTCTTCGGTAGCATGTCGCTATGCGGGAACTAAACTCACTTTCCGCGATGACTCGGGCTTGTCCCTGAATACCTTGGCGAAGAGCTTTCGTAGTTGTTTCTCCAGCTCTTTGTCCTCTGCGCCCTGGTAGAATTTGCACACAAAGTGACCGCCAGGCTTGAGGGTATCGCTGGCAAATTGGAGCGCTGCGTAGCAGAGATCCTGTTCCGGCCCCGCGTTAGTGGCATGAGAAAAAACCAAAAGACGCTCCACTGACCATGCTGCCGACGTGATCTTTAAAGGTGACGCCGCTCGTGTTCATCATCCTGTTGTAAGGATTACTAAGTGTGTTCACGCCGAAGCCGGAAGTTTGGTCCCATGGGGCTGACATGTCACTCAACACAACCTTTCGCAGGGTTAGCATGGGTAAGCCTAGGCGTTCAAATCACACGGCAGCCGCGGAAAGGGATCCAACAGAGCTGGCAGCGTAGAAGCAGAGAGACACATACGTTTACCAACTTCAAACTCTTGCTCGTCTCCTCGGCTGTTGTCGGGTCTGCCGTCTCCGCCCGTTCCAGGTCAATGTAGCTCGGTTTATCTTCGACAACGGTGTTGAGGGCTGGTTCATCGCCGAGAGACTCAACTTCGCTGTGAGACTGGTCGCCGGGTTGCGCATTGCTTACTGTCGGTTTCTTATCGGGGCGGCGGCGTCGTTGTGCCCGGACCAGAAAATCCTTGACCATACCTTGCACTGCTGGCGAGAGAAAGTCGCCCTGGATAGTGGACACACCTCGTGGTGGTTGTGCCGGGATCAAGTCGATCCCGAGAACACTGCCTGAGGGCTTCGTCCGCTCCACCGCGACCTGGGACCAGCTCCCTGGAGCATAACCCTTAGCTTCCGATCAGCACCGAGACACATGTGACGTAAGTGGGAGATCTTACAAGGTCTACGACTACCTGATCCTTTTTGAATATGCGGTATTTGCTATCCAACTGGGAGCGACATTTAGTGGCTGCGTCTTCTCACAGCTGACCTGTGTTTGGGTAGACATGGCCGTGTGGTAACGAGAACAAAGTGTACCGACCTCAAGAAGCTTAAAAGCAGCACGACTCTTGAGTCCCTGCACACGAGCCTCCCGTGCAAACACATCATTACCCTGGCGTGCCTTCCAACGACTGTTTGATGACGAAAGACGGCATTGAACCTGTGGCCCTTTTTGTTGACGAAGGATGGTAAGTCTGGACGGTGTTGCAATCGACACTTCTAATGATGTGAGAACGCGTCGAAAATAAACCCCGCCGGTCAAGCTGCTGCTCATGGCTTATACCTGGGCACTAAAAACAACAAAATCAAGGGTGGTAAGTTACAGCAGTAAAGACGATCAGCTTGTGGCAGAAGGAATGAAGGATGGTCGATTAAATCAATGTTTTGTGATTTCGTCAGTTTCCTTCATGTTCAACAACATACCTACCTATCAGTGAACTCTCTGAGGCCCAAGCTCCGGCGACGTGCTGACTAAGTCACAGACGATGCGATCTTTAAGACCAGAGCCTCACAAGTGAAGACGTATGAATAAGGGATTTGACTGTGACAAGATGTTTCGGCAGGCAGAATCAGTCACGTTACTTGCAGGTTTGGCTCTTGTGGTACAAAGTTCTTGTCATTTACTTTCCTCAGTTAGGAACGTAATATTCGTATTGCACAAAATGTGCAACATACCGTTGACCTGCCGTGACACCCCAGTCACACTAGTACGCCGATTAATGCATCCGTACACTTCAAATCAATAACGCCAAACTGGACCAAAGCCCTGCCAACCTCAAACATGTCCCAGACCAAGATCTATACAAGAAAACTCGCGCCTACGCCCCTGCGATCTTTCTTGAGAGGAGAGAACGCCGCCCCTGCAAAGGCCTTGCGAGCCATGCCAAGCTTGGGATTCTTCAGAATCTTGCCCGGTCCAAGCTTGATTTGGTTGCTCCTCTTGACCGGTAGATCTACAGGCTCTGCTTCCTCCTCATCGAATATCGTCTTTGAGCTGTCACCGACCAGTTTGCGCTTCTTTTTCTTCTCGAGAACCCGAACAGCTGGCTTGACGGCCCCGTTCTCGACAGAGGCGTCAATAGAGGGTTCTGAAACATCATGCGTAGCGCTGATTGTACCGGCTGCTGGAGCTTCAACATCAGTCGACTCCTCAGTAACCTGCGTCAGAACCGCAACGTTCCTTGCAGCCTTCTTCATCTTGTCTGGTCGAGCGACTGCGCAGGGTGGAATGTTGGGGGACGTCGACGCAAGAGCCTTCTTAGGCCTTCCTCGAGCCTTGCCTTGCTTTCCTTCAGCTCCGGATGTGGCAGAGACGAGCGCCCTCTCCACGTCCTTGGCTGCATCCACAGCCTCGGCCTCAGCCCTCCGGACCGTTTCGGCATGAGGAATGTGGCTCACATCCGCTTCATCTTCCTCTGCATCCTCGTCCACAGATGCGTCGACGTTCACACCCTTGGTGCGATTCAGGAAAGGCGTAATCGAGAATGTGGACTTCTCTCCAAGAAGCGTTTGGTCAAGCCCTCGTTTCTTAGCGGGTCGGCGAGATTTCCAATCGCCATCATTGACGGCCTCGGTTGTGATGTCCTCAGCACCCAGGTCTACAGCTCGTCGTTTCTTCGTAGCGTGGTGGTCGGGTCCTGATGCGCGGTTTGCGCCCTTAAGGTTCGTGACGTGTGCCTCTCGCATGGCCTCGAGCTCCGCCTTGGATCCCTTCAGTTCGCTCTGAGTGCTTCGCAACTTCGTTTTGAGGCTGTCCACCCTGGACTCGAGGTTTTCGTTCTGGGCCTGCAGCTCAGACAGCGCAACTTCAGCTTCCTTCTTTGCCCGCTTGGCCTCGTTTTTCTCGTTCGCCAATGACTTTTCGAGTTCTTTGACTTTTGCCTGCAGTTCTACGTCCGCAGCGGTCCTCTTCTCTTGTGATCGTGAACTGTCTTGCGCTGATGCAAGTTCTTGACGAAGTCGTCCTAATTCGCGCGTTTCGGCTGCCAATCGGTTTTCGACATCCTTCAACTTCTGCTTTGTTTCGTCGCTGTCGGCTCTTTCAAGGTCGTGCTTCTCTGCGGACTGTAACCGAGCACGCCTTTCGGCGGCTAGCTCAACCTCAGCCGAGTTGAGTTGTCGCTCCAGAGACAACTTTTCCGCAAGCACAGTCTGTTGATGTGCCAGCTGGGAACGTAGGTGTTCAAGTTCCGGTTTCATTTGCGCAATTTCGCGACTGAGAGCCAGCTTTTCGGCTAGCACCTTGGTGGAGTCCTGGGCTGTGTTGTTGAGCGATTCGAGCTCCATCTGCAGAAAATGAGTCAATGGCGGAATGTACGATAATCTATAGCTGTTTAGCACAAACCTTGAGGTGTGAGGCTTCCCGTGCTTGGGTATCGAGGGCTTTTTTAAGCTGGCGATAGGCTTGCTTCGTTGCCTTCACCTCCGACTGTGCCTGTTCAAGCTGCCCCGACAGCTGAGTGACCTGGGATCCGCTGACCTTCAGGCGCTGTTGCAAAGCATCATTATCGTCTGCCAATAGCTGCTTTCGTACCCTCAGCCTCCTTGTCTTCTCGTCATTGAGAACAAGCTCGGCTTGGTGCAGCTGGCTTTGATGCGCCATGGTGTGCTCGTGGATACGCTGTTGACGCTAACCATGGGCTTAGCTCCTGGCCGTAAATATTCGCTGATTGAGGGATGCCATACCTGCTCAGCGTCCAGAAGACGGGTGTTGACAGGCATCCCGCCAGTCACGTACGCGTTTGGTGTGGTGGGGTACGTGATACTGTCAGGTATCTGTCATAGGCAGCCTGAACTTGAGTGTTAAAGAAGCGACACAAGACGCCTTTATCACAGACAAGAGCAGGATAAGACTATATGTTATGGAAGATCCGATGGGTGGACGTTGTTCTGTAAGAGAGCTTACATCTTCGTGTGTTTGGATGTTGAGCGTGGCGTAAGTAAACATGATTCCAAGAATGAACTAGTGTCACTGTCATGTGACCTCGTGAGCTCTGGACTGGAAGTGCACACCTACCCCACGTAACTCACACAGACAAGGCCCCAGAATGCCTCGTTCGCACCAATCAAGTCAACAGCTAGTCGATTCGAGAGTTGCAAGGTACGTAGCCCCTTCCTCTGGTCCCGCCTGCCCAGTGCTCCTGCCCAAAGTGTCCAATACGACCTCCAATTGACACATGCACCAGAAGTACCGTGGTGGAAGCCACATCGTCAACGTCAACGACAACGCCCACCACGCACCAGACAATCTTTCCGGCACGTGGGACTGTGCACCGCATTGAATACAGTCACACCCTATCGTTCGCCGATCTCAGTTCAGCCCGCCATGCGTTGGTTTTCCTCCCTCCTTCGCCTTTCGCTTCTGGCGTCAGGAGCTCTAGCGGCCGCCAAGTCGCCGGAGGAGCGCTTCCAGGACTTCCACACCAAGGCACTGTCGTCCTCGCCCGTCAAGCTTAATGACAAGACCTTCAAGCAGGTCACTGCGCTGCCGCGTGATTACACCACCATGGTGTTGCTGACAGCCCTCGACTCTAAGTTCGGATGCCAGCTGTGTCGCGAATTTCAACCTGAGTGGGACATCCTGTCACGCAGCTGGACCAAGGGCGACAAGAAAGCCGAATCCCGCATGATCTTCGGAACTCTGGATTTCGCTGATGGCCGGGATACATTCATGTCGGTAAGTACTCCGAACGCCCAGGGTGCCTTTGAGCTTGCGAGCTTCCAGACAAGTTGGCTAACGTCACGTTCTTGCCTAGCTCGGACTTCAAACCGCACCTGTTCTGCTGCTGTATCTGCCTACTACTGGACCCCACGCTGTCGCATCTTCCGAGCCCTTGCGCTACGACTTCACCAGCGGGTACGTATAATTGAGACTGGGCTGTGTTTCCTGAAACATATCACTAACTTGGACAGACCCCAGGTTGCCGAACAAGTCCACTCGTGGCTCGCTCGCCACATGGATGGCCGCCCCCAACCCAGCGTGAAGCGTCCCATCAACTGGATGCGATGGATCTCGACTGTTGTCGTCACGCTTGGCCTGGGCACTGCCCTCATCACGGCTTCTCCTTACGTCCTTCCTGTCATCAGGAGCCGCAACCTCTGGGCCGTCTTCAGCCTTATCACAATCCTCCTATTCACCAGCGGCTACATGTTCACCCTGATCCGCAAGACACCGTACGTTGTCGGCAATGGCAAGGGCGGCGTCACTTACTTCACTGGTGGCTTCCAGAACCAGCTCGGCATGGAGACACAGATCGTCGCTGCCATTTGTAAGTTGCCACCAAACCCTTCCATCACGAGTGACTTGACTAATGCACTCCCAGATGGTGTCCTGGCGTTCTGCGCCATTGCACTGACTGTAAAGGTGCCGCGGATTGCGGATCCCAAGAAGCAGCAAATAGCCATCTTGGCTGGTGCTGGTGTCATGTTCATCATGTACAGCTTCCTTCTCAGCGTCTTCCGCATCAAGAACGGCGGATACCCCTTCTCTCTGCCTCCTTTCATGTAAATGGCGGCAGATGAGATGGCCAAAAGGGCCGACGAGCCCGCAGAAAAGATCCACCACAGCATTGCATCCCCAGCTTCGTGGCCTTGCACCAGCATAGTACTATAGCAACGCCTGTCTGAGGAGCTCAATGACTGGCTACTAGAGTGACTGGCTACTAGAGCTTCAAAGTCTGCATGTCCAAAAAAGGGGCAGACGGTGCCCGAGAGGGCCGATTTGTATCAGTAGGAACTGGCAGGCACCGCGGCTCAAGGCACGCCAGAGGGTGCCTGCGTATTTAGAAATGACCAGTCCTTAACCTCGCCACGCATGACTCTTGTGTTGCGCTCGTACGGGAACGTCAAGTGACACTGTAATGTAGCCGCCTGCCTGTACTCTGTGCCGAATGAATGATGTTGCTTGTTGAGGGTTACAAGGGGTGAGCGTTTTCGTGGAGTGGTGGAATCCTGAAAGCACGACAAGTGACCATAACCTGCACGAAGCCCGAGGAGCGTACTGCTTGTGAGTCTAGACGGGCGCCATAAGCAACATCTTGGAAGGGTCTCACGCGTCAATCTACAGTTGATGAACGCTGCGTCTTAGCCTTTCACGAAGAATCAAGCACACGTCGAGGAGACTCGTCAAGGAAAGGTTTACTAGGATCTGGGGACAAGAAATGGGCCGTATGCCACGAGTGGGAAGGTACATGCAAAAGCCGGGACCAGTCTTGGTAAAGGCAAAAAGCCAGAGTGTGTATTCGCATACGTCGAATTTTGGGATACCGATCGACGCCAGTACCATGCATAACCATTTCCCTGACCGAGACCGCGTCTTCCGTTGAGCGTCGTGGCGCGAAGAACGCGAGAGCCAAACCGCAGCAGACCCAGATCGTCCAATTCCGTCGTAAAACCCGCTTACACCTTGAAACCCCTGGAGCGTCTGCGACCACGGGCACGCTCGAACTTGCGGCCCTTGGAGGCGACGTAGGGCTTCTGCAGAGGGGGGTCAGCAAGCCGTTGCAGAGAAGGTACAGGCTGTTGTGTGAGGGGTGGCAGCATACCTTGTGGCTGTGGGGGCCGAAACCGAAGTGCTTGACGGCCTCACGGGCGTTCTTGGGGCCGCGGAGCAGCAGGGTGTTGCCACCGGTGGGGGAGCGGAGGGCAAGCTGGTCGAGGGTGATGGCCTCGCCGCCGGCGGCAGCCAGACGGGCACGGGCAGTGGCGGTGAATCGCAGAGCGGCGATGGTCACCTTGGGGACCGTCAGGAGACGGTTGTCGTCGGTGATGGTGCCGACAACAACGACGATGCGCTTCTCATCCTCCTTGATGTTGGCCGCAATGCGGGACAGGGAGACGGGAGGGCGGTTGATGCGGGACGTGAACAGGCGGCGGAGGACGACCTTGTTGAAGTTGGCATCGGTACGGCCTGTCACGTTTGGTCAGCCCAATGCCTTCTCGTTCCAAGATTTTCTTCTTCTTGAGGAGTCTTGCCGGGGAAACTTACGGGCCAGGAAGCGGTACAGCTTGACGAGAAGCTTCAGGTACACGTTCTGGCTCTTGGGAGCCGTGCGGTGAGTGCCGCGCACGTGGTGACGGTTGAGATCAATGCCTATTGTGAGGGGAAGAATCCATCGTCAGCCTTTCGATCGATCATGCTCAAGGACTGCTGCGGCGGTTCGTCCTCGGCGAGGAGGCAAGTGCGCGCGTGCCAGGTCGCAGAGCACCCGAAGGTAACCCCACTCGCATGGTATAAAGGCTCGGATGGTGGGAGTTTACGTACCCATCTTGTCGTCGACTTCGCGATGTCCGGAACTGAGTCGATGGGTGGTGGTTGTCGCTGTCGGAAGGTTCGTTCGAGAAAGAAAAAAAGAGAAATTCCCACACCTTGGAAAGACTGGAGGTGGGAGGGGAATTGTGGGCGAAAATTACTAGGGCAGTTGTGAAGACGCTCGGACCATCAGAGTTGGCGAGGGCGGGACTTTGCTCGCTAGGCATGATGTTTTAATTGGCCTGACGCCCCACATGCTTTTCTCCTACCTCGGTGAGATCCACGGTGAATTCTCGGTGTAGCATAAACTACCTACATGCAACAAGGTTCCATGGCATCAAGATGCTCCAACCTCCAACATGTATACAAGTATTGACTTCTTCCTTCCTCGAAAGACAAGCATTTGAGTAGTCTTAAGATAGATGCTGTGGTGGCACTCATATGCAGAAGATTCTGAACATTCAACTTCTCTTGATTGCACCAGCCGAGTTCATGATCGCTACCGTCTACCATTTGTACAATATCAAAGCACTAAGCCGTCTCAAACTCAAATGATGACCTCTTCGGCTCCCGGGTTCAAAGACACGAGGAAGTCTCGGGACAGCTCGAAGCTCAACCAACTTGACGCCATACTGGGCGCCACCTTCAACAAGTTCGGCACGATGCCTTTGTAGAGACCTTTGATACCCTCCTGCGCGAGAATGACCTTGACGGCGTCTGTGACGCCTTTGTATTGGTACCCCATACCAGACATGGTGTTTATTTGGAAACGCCTTCGTAGAACGTCGCTAGCAGGGGTTAGATAACAAAGACTTGATGGCGTTGTGAGGTGAGGACTTACAATGGATATGTGCACGTCTGCGCAACAGCGCCAGAGATTGCACCAGCCAACAATTTCCTCACTGCGCTCGGGTTTTGCTCTCCTTCAGGTGTGAGATACGTCCGCACTATCTCATACGTCATGAAGTTGAGCCCGACCTGTACAAGAACTCTCAGTCAGCTGCAATGCTCGGGAACAGGTCTGTGCCTTGGACACTCACATATGGCGCCACGCCGGCAACTGTAGGTGTGATGCCTCTGTATAGGGCAGCCATACCGCCCTCGGTTTTGTACATTGACTTCAGGGTGGACCACATGCCGGGCAAGTGGTCTGGTCGTGCCCCAAGCTCGGCGAACGAGGCAGATTGGATAGAAAGGCGGGTTCGGACGATGTCGAGCGGGTATGTGAAGAAGACCGACGTGATGCCAGCCGCACCGCCGCAAATGAGGCGTGTTAAGGATGAGAGATCGGCGCCTGGGGAGGCTTCAAATATGTTCTTGACGGCTTCTTGTCAGCATGCACGGATCGGGAGGGCAAGGAGGCTAGACGTCGCAACTATACCCTCTTGTAAAAGTTGTAGCTGCCGAATTGCACAGCAGAATACGGGACAATACGGATGCAGTTGGTTCCATTGCCGCGCATGAAACCTCGCCATCCTTCCTCAACCCACATCTTCTTGAGGCCCTGGCCGACAGACAACTTGTACGCATCTCGGCCAGCGCTCTGGATCTGGAAGAGGATCTTGAGCCGCTCCAACGGGGAGACGACAGTTCTCGACACAGCACCGGCCACACCGCCGGCGCAAAAGGCCGCGACGACGGGTTGTGATATCGTTTCGTAGAATTGTGTAGTGCGGTCCACGGGCGCGACCCGGGCTTCAGCGATCTCGGTTTCGGACTGGGGAAACAAAGAATGAGAGCCATATTCATTCGCAAACAGGTCTGGCCATTCCAGTACAGGGTCGTCAACTTACCATGACGGCTAACGAAGAGAAATCTCGTTTCGAGCCTTTCGCAGCGCAAAGAATGATACTAGCTGCGAAGGGCCTATAACAAGGAAATAATAGGTGCGGTCTTGCGTAATAATGCAATTGCTATCATCGGATAGAGATCAATATAAGTGTGGCGGGATTGTATTCGTAGAGGAGAGACAGAGGGAGCTTGGCTAGCTTGTATGGCGTTATAGGTATCTGGACTGTCGGTAGGGCGACATAGTCGGGTGGTTCGTGGCAGCTTGTGGATGTGTTTAAAGCACAGTTCTGCGCCGCATGCTCCGTTGGTCGAGTGATGATCGAATCAATTAAGACGGCCGCACCTCGCAGCTGGTGAATGAGCCGGAGAGTAGTCAGGGCGAAGCTCCGTGAATGCTCGTGGACAAAAAGCTAAGCTGTGTAGTCGGTTCCTCCGTAGGAGCTAGGTTAGTCTCGTTGATACTATGAGACAGCGCGAAGGAGTCCAATTTGTGGTGATACAGGCGAAAGTGTTCGTAGGTCGCAGCCTCAGAAGACGCAGTCGCAAATGACAATGGCCGGTGTGCCCCCGCAGAATAGGCCGGCAAGCTGCTCGAGGATCATGGGTAGACGTTGGTGTCGGGAGAATGGGGAACGAGTTGTCGGCCAAACTAGGGGAGGTTTGACGCAAGATCGAACCCGCCCGCTGGCTGCGGTCACAAGCCGCTGCCATGGCCGTGACCTCAATAGTGGAGGTGCTTTGGGGTACGCTGGTGGGCTTCTGCCAATGAGTGGCCAAGCAAGGCTTGGCAGCTTGGACAGGATGGTCCTTAGAGTGGGTCGTCCTCCAGCGAACGAGGCCCTGAACCGCCCGAAGCCGTCCTGTAACGCCAGCACCAGCTGGGTCACTCCCCTCTTGGCTGCCTCCAACGCATCAGGCACTCATTCTCCAGGGGGGACCACAAGTTCAGCGAGTCACTGGATCACGAACCTCTGCAGCTTGCACATGGATGGAAAATCGCTGGAAACAACGGTGGCACGCCAGAGGACTAAGGACATACATCAGAAGAGGGATGTGCACGAATCCAATCAGCCGTCATACGGTACTAAGACTCGTTCTCAAGCAATATGGTAATTGTCTAGTAAGTCACAGCTAATTCATTGGTCACAGGGTGTGATCAGCTGGAGCCGTGGTGGTCTCGGATGGAAAGACACCATGTCCTTGAGCAGCTGGTGCCAGTTCTGCAACGGAGGGCTTCATGTTAATAAGGAATTGACCTACATCCACTACCTAATCTACAAAAGTGTTCGTAACCGATTGTCCGATATTGGGAAGACCCTGGGTCTGCTGAAGTGAGGTGAGCTTGTGCGCCAAAGGTAGAGGGCTCCTGTCCGGTTTTGTCGTCGTGCTTCGAATGGTTGTTCCGCCGGCTCCGCAGGTCCAAGAGGGGAGGATCGGTCGCTCGGTCGTTCGGGTTCTGGGAGGGCGTAGAAGAAGATATCGGAAGAGGGGGGGTGGGAGATGGAGCAAAGGTTCGGGCGCATCGAGACTAGAAAATCCATTGAAGGTAAGGGAAAGTTTTGGCAGACTCGGAACAACTTGGAGAAAAGGGAAATCAAAAGCCTGCGCCCAACAGCCGTTTTGGATCGCTCATGAAGAGCTGCGACTTGCCAGTATACTTCACTACTCCGCAACGTCCAGGTCGTCGTGGACGGGAGGTGGACTGTCGATGGCTGCGGGCACCGTCAGCAAAGCTGCTTGCTTGCGAGTGTGAGGGGTGAGAACGTACGTTTACGGTCGTCGCCATTGGCGCCGCTGTCGCGGCGGTCCCGGTCGTCACGGTCGTCCTTGGCGTCACGGTCGTCCTTCACGTCACGATCGTCCTTAGCGTCGCGGGGGCTGTCGCCACTACACCAGTTAGTATCGCTGAGCAAGACGGTCGGTTGAAGGGTCTCTGATCATACCGTCGGTCAGGGCTACGAGATCGGTCGCGGCGGCTGTCGCGGTCGTAGTCGCGGTCACGGCGGTCTTCCTTTCGAGGGGGAGGCGAGTAGTCGCGCGTGCTGCGGCGGGGAGAGGGCGACCGTCCACGACGGGGTGAGGAGCGTCTGGGGGCGCGCTCACGATCGCGACCGGAATCGAACCGCCAAGAGGCAGAAGGAGGTGTGCGGGCCCACTGTGAAGCAGGTCAGTTGGCGCTGCAATGATAGAGGTGTGAAACACAGTTTGAAATACTGACCTCGATCTTCAGAACATCGTCACGTCCGATGCGCTTGTTGTGCATCTCGTGGTAGGCATCGTCGGAATCACGACGATCCTCGTACTCAACAAAGGCAAAACTATATGAGAGTTGTTGTTAGAATGCGGACCTCAAGAAAGATGTTCGACAACTACTTACAGTCTGCTCGAGGCGGATCGGGGTGCTGGGATATCGCATCGAACCAATCGTCCATAGCTGTTAAAATAAGTTCATGTTAGTGACTTCAAACAAGGTGGGTTTCAGGAGGGCAACGACATGTGCCACCGTTAATCCAAACGATAGATGCGCTGAGCATGCCAGTCGCTGGCAGTCGGCGCAACAAAAGTTGCCTGTCGAGACGGAATCGAGGCGGGATGAACGGTGGGAGGAGGGCGGCGCAAGGCTGAACGACAGCCAGTGGCGTTGGATACGGGGAGAGCGAGTGACGACGACGACGACGAGGATCAAGGAGGGAGGACGGTCGAAGACTCGGAAGGATCGCGCGCAGGAGGCAGGTAGGTGGAGGTAGAGGAGGGCGGAGGCATCGACAACGTAAGGCTGATTGATTGCAGTTGGACATACCGTTCGAACTCGTAGGCAAGGTCGCGAGCACGAGTACCATGGCTGAAGCCGGTGACGTACAACGTGGTTCCGCCGCCGCGCGACATGGTTGTAGTGTTGGCGGAATGCGCGGAAACAAAGAAGAAGAAGCGCGTATGTATCGTACTTTCAATTGGATGGCTGAGAAGAATGCCGCGACGAGTGTTCTCGATTGGCAGGCACAGGTGATAAAAACAAGAGATGCGCGTTGACCACAGGATTGGGGGGAGGATAGGTGCCTCTGGTTGCATGCGTCAAAAGTTTTGGGAATCCGTCAGCCAACAGCTATCACGCTTATGTAATACTGATCGATCTGTGACGACACCAACACCAGGTGCAGCCACAGCCGGCATCCTTGAGGTTGTGCATATTTCTCACATTCTATCAAGATGCATCGTTACCGCCAACGAGAATGTAAGCAGTTAGTTCAAGTATTCCCGATTTCGGGATTTTGTCTCTTGATCTCGATACCTACGATGGTCTAACGAAGACGACACAGTGGCAGAATTGAAAAGCAGCCGAGTTGCGCTTTGTGGATTGAACCGGGATGACCTCATATTGATCACACCACACACTGTAAGCACAGAAAGTAAGTTGATAGGTGATTCGTTTTACGCATGTAGAACAAGAACTCGTAGAACCTTCCAGAGCGCAATGCTGGCTGGTGACAAGACGGCGCTGAGACCCCCACCCATCACCGGCAAATGACGCCGATCAATCGAGTCCATAACATTCGCATGGCAGCATCGCTTGGCCGAGCGCGTCTGCACATTTACCCCTCCAATCGCGATCTACATCCTTTCCGATGTTGCCATCAAAGAGCCTAAAGGGCATAGGTTAGCTTGCATGTTACAACACGAGGGCTTGGCTTTTTCCTATTTTTCTTACCGATAAAGGTGGTGACAAGTCGGCTGCGGACCTGGCAAATGTCCTCCGGCACCAGCCAAATGGTGGCTCCCATCTTTCGAGCAATGCTGATGCTGAGCTTGGCGTTGAGGTACGCATCGTCATCGGTGTGGCCCGGCGTCACGAGGTCGTAGTCCACATAGCTGCTCTTCATGCCATTGAGGACATCTAGAAGGAAGATGCCGGTGCCGATCGATGGGTCTTTGAAAGATCGAATGGCCGAGTTCCTGCCGCCCTTCTTTGACATTTCGTTGGCCCAGCGTACCATCTCGGAGTCTGTAATTTCCCTCTTCCCTAGGCGCTGCGCAAGCGCAGACAGGGTCAGGGTAATGTCCTTGCGCATCAGCTGCCAAACGAGGCCGAGGGTAAGGGTTCTTTGACCGTCGGTGATGTCGGCCCCTTGAATACCGACAAGGGAGAACCCGTTTTGCTTGCCAAGTTCGATCGCATAGTTGGTATTCTCCACAGCCTTGAACCTCGACACCTCGCCGCCGTGCGCGGGGCGCTTGTTCACGTGTCGCTGGTTCACCGAGCCCTTGATGACCTTGTCGTAGGCCTGGAGCAGGATGGTTCCGTCCCTCAGGTCGTCGAAGAAAGACTGAACGGCGGGCTGGACATCCAGACTGTTGAGCCACAAGGTGAAGACACGAGCTTCGCGCTCACCCTCAGCATCGAAATCCTCGACCTCGAGCTTCTCCTCCTCGGTAATGGGGTCGAGGCAAGGGTGGTTGTTGAAAAGGTTCGCGACGAAAGCCAGGTTAAGCTTGGGGTTGCCGGCCACGAGCGACGTCGGAGTCAAAAACTTGCGGCATCCCATCTTGTCAGCATTCTCGAGAACCTGCTCGGCCCTCTGCAGGAGATCATTGGTCTGCAGTGGCGCGCGCGTGTTGCCGTACTCGGATCCGATCTGGGCGAGCAGAACAGTATAGTTCTCGCCGTCCTTGATATCGCTGGAGAAGTTGTTCACCCTGGGACGTGTTAGTTGATGCCACAGATCACTCTTCATGATGGAGGAAAGCACACCTTCTCGGCCAGTTAGCCGCCTTCAGGTGGTAGTTGACCCAGCGCAGAAGGATCTGCTCAGGGGGCAGCCTGAGGAACTGCTCGAGAGTTTCGTCCTCCTCGAGAAGTCGGTAAAGCTCGGGGTGCAACTTGATATCAATCTTGCCAAGCAGACCACGACGGATGATCTGCCAGATGAGACCGAGAATCAAGTGTTCGCGGCCCTCAATGATATCACCACTGCCAATATTGACGACGGAACAGCCGATACCCTTGGCAGATTCAATGACGATGTTGTTGTTCTCGGTCTTGTGGAAGGCATTGAGGGTCTTGATCTTCCTTCCCGGCAAGTTGAGAACACGCTCATCAATGGTGTCCGGCACGCTGTCGTTGATCAGCTTGGCGAGGACAAGACCGTCCTTGCAGTCGTCAAACATCTCGAACGTGTCGGTGGGGAAGGGAAGTCGGCTGCCGAGATCAGGGTCGCCCGCGAGGACGGCATTGATGTGACGAGTGAACTCGGTGCGCTCATCCTCGTTAATGGTGTGCGTGACGTTGGCATTGGAACCCTGGACGTGGATCTTGCCGGCGTTAGAGGCGGCACGCGCGCGTCCACCTCCGCCGGTGGCCTGCGCGACAATGCTCGCGGCGGCACCCGGCGCGGGGCCGGTCGACATGCGCTTTTGCGCGGGCGAGGAGTCACGTAGCTTGGCGATGAGCTTTACGAATCCATCACCTTGTCAGCTTCTGCGCAGAGCACTAAGGAACTTTCTCGGCACAGAGGGGGGGGGGGGGATGAAACGTACACCGACGTAATCCTCGAGCTCCACACGCCGTGAGGAGTCGAGATCGACCTCCTTCAGCGCTTGTCGCACAACGTCATACGGCTGACGCTCACTGGCTTGCGTCGCCTTGATGGCTGTGGCCTCATCAATGTAGCCCTTGTCGTCGACATCGAGTTTACGGAAGGCGTCAGTCAGACCGAAGATCTGATCTTGCGGGAATTGAGGATACTTCCTGTGCGCGAAAGGGGTCAGCGCCGGAAGAATGAGGCAGTGGGTTCCAGGGTGTTTCTCCAGCCAGAGAAGAGAGCGCCCACAAACCTCTGAAGTTTCAAGACATTCATCGTGGCAGCGTGGGGTTTGCCCCTGTCTCCGAAGAACAGAAGAGGACAAGACTGCTTCACCACAGGTTGGGGGGGTTCGCAAAACAGCAGAAAGGGGGGTTACGGAGGTGCTCCTTGTCGTGTGGAGGTTAGGCGGGCTTGCCAAAGCGACCCTGGGCTGTTGCGATGCGTCGGGTCGCGGGTGATTCTGTGAGAAAACGGGTCGTCAGGTACTCATGCGACGGCGGGCAGTCAAGAGGGCCCCGTCTTAATATGAGTGTGTTAGCAGTCGTGTCAGGCAGCGCAAAACGAATGCGAAGTTGGCAGGCAGTCCGAGCTGGGCTGAGTAGGTCTACAGAGCAAGCTGGGCTGGGCTGGCTGGGCGTTGGCGGGGGCGGGGATGCGTGGACTGATGTAATGCACCGAACTTTTGACCCCACTTCTGACCGGGACGGTTGCTTGATGCCTGTCGACCTTTTGGATCACGCTCGACGCAACGTCGAGGTACCTGAAAGGTATGTCGCACCTTTGCATCTCATTTGTCGCCGACAAGAGAGCACCCTCGAGTGTTCTCCAATGCATCACCGAACAGCTAAGCTGGCTGGCGGTGCTCCAGCGCGGCAGGCAGGCACCTCGGACTCGCTAGCCATGTACCTCTCTCCTCGCGTCCTCTGTGGAGATTCTGTAGAGGCTTTTGGTCCCTGAGAGCTCGGATAGCTCGGGCCACTACGAGCCTGACTGCGCCAGCGTCAGGCATGCCCATTTCCGGTGCTGGGCTTACCCATTTCCCTTCTTTTCCAGGCAACCCTCGCCTCGTGCATTCCAGAGCAGCACACGTGCGGCAGAGATAGGTACCTTGCATCGACACAACGTTGACGTGGCTTTGAGCAGGCGATCCTAGGCCAGGTACCTGTTGTCTACATCTGTGGGCAGCCACACGGCCTACGTCACCAGCAACGCAAGCCCCGTGCGTTCCATCAGGTATACCTTTTCTTGCAGCCTACCTGCCTGCCTGTAGCGGGCCCCAAGGATCAACGGCGGTCTCACTGTCTACTTGTGCTCGGTGTTGTGCATCTACGCGGCAAGCTAGCCAACCAAGTGCAAGTTTTGAGAGATGCTTGCTCGGATGGACGACTTGCGCAGTGAAGGACATCGCTACAGACGTCGACATACCGGCGGAACAGGTTAAGCTGTGTCCCACTTTTTTTGACCAGATCTGCTGTATTTGCCCCTCCATGCTTGGTTGTTGTCGCCTCCGAGGAGTCTAAAGAAAATGCTGAACCTGCACCCAAAGTACTTCACAACTCCAGAGACAACACATCCACAGTACTTCCAAACCCTATTTCCGTAGCTGATTCGGGCTCTGAACTGCCGCCTATCCATCAAATCTAACAGTCGAGTTGAGTCAAAAAAAAAAACGAACACCGACCATGTCCTATCACTGCAAGGAATGCAGCGACCCTCTGGTCCTCGAGTTGGGACCAGACAGCGACGGAGAGGAAGAGGCAACGACTGTTCCGGATGATCTCGAACTCCGCTGCGGCTGTCATTTTCACTGGTAAGGGAACCGGGGGGAGGAGGGGTGGGGAGGAGGGATGGGGAGGAGTTTCCCTTTATTTCTCATTCATTTCTTGTCGTCGCCTAGTTGTTATCGACTCAATCGCTGACAGGGCCTACAGGCAATGTCTTATGGATAAATCGTCCGAAGTGGCCATATCACTCAAGTGCCCCTCATGCCAGACGCACCTTGCCACCAACGAGGCTGGTCCTTCGGCAACGAACCAGATCGTGCTTGCGTCCTCGGGTTCCGTCATTCTGGCCCGCTATGTCAATGAGGGTGGCATCGAGGACAACCTCGACATTCTCCCCACGGTGACGGAGGAAGCCTATCTCGTAGCGCACCCCGAGGCAAGGCCCGCACGTGCTTATCACGTTATGTGCTCCGAGGGCGACGCGACTGGCATTGTTGAGCTGCTCCACGATGCCAGCGCGGAGCTCGGTGGCGACACGGTTCAACTGGGTCACCTGATCCGCTACCGTGATCCCCTTAACAACAACAAGAGTGGTCTGCACTTGGCCGTGGAGAAAGGTCGAGAAGAGGTCTTGTGGCTTCTTCTCTGGCTCGCCTCGTCACTGCCAACAGAGAGCTTCCCGGAATCTGCACAAACCGTTGCCAAGGCAGCACACATCGGCCGCCTTGACACTTCTGGTGACGATATCAGGTCTTTGCAGAGCGATGGAGGAAAGTCAGCATATGATATCGCGCAGAGAATGCCTGATCAATGGGGTGTCATTAACGATTTGGGTGTCTTGCGCCCATGATAAAGTTGCTAGCTGGTCCAAGGGCTCTTATCGAGATCCCGATTTCTTGGAGTCTCTCGACTTGCTAGACAGCAGCTGCGACAAAATAAAGTGATTGACGTCCTCGTCTGCCCAATACCCCATGTGTGATGCAATGGTGTTGATAGGGTTGAAATCCAGAACACTCCTGCATCAAGTTAGCGCAGTTCTCTCCTATACATCGTCGACTAGGCACCGCATTGAGATGTACGACTTACTCCTGGATGCTGTAGTCAACTCTGGCGTTGCGATTTAACGCGCGGATCTTCATGTCTTCGTGGCGCAACTTGCGTGCCTTTTGATCCCAGCCGACCCGGTCCTCAGCTGCAAGGCCTTCGTCGGGGACCCCTTGCGTAAACTTCTCCTGAAACTTCGAGTACAACGTCTCAAGCTCGTCATCAATCAGCGTAGGGTCGTTGCCACTCATACTTGCCCGAGCATCATCACCGGCAGGCGACGCCAGCTGATTCTTTCGCTCGTTGGTTTTCTGACCCAACTTCGAAGCATTCGTTATCGCATCTACCTCAGAAGCTGCTGCTCCTTGTAGCGAGCTGTTGGCCGCTCGCCCTTGTTCTGACGCAGAGTTCATTTTTGCGACATCGTCGCTGGTGAGGCCAAGGCTGCGGTTCAGGAGGTTGCTTGCGATTCCGGCGCTTAGACTCGACCAGAGACCACTGACGCTTTGTCCGACCTTCGCACCAATGCCAGTCAAGCCTTGCGGAGCCACGTTGCCAAATATGCCTTTTTTGGTGTATGGGAGCACCTGTGGTTTCAGGCTTGACATCGACGTCGATATCAACGGCTCAAGGCGGTAGCTGATGGGGTCAGAAGGGTGGAAGATGTTGTAAAGCTGCGCAACCTTCGGTGACGACACTGAAAAGGGAAGACCGGTCACTTGCGATACTCTTTCGCCAGCAGATGCATCGGCTCTGACCGACAGGAACGGATCATCGACGTCATCGGGGTTCAGAGGGCTTTCAGAGGGGAGAGAGTCCGCAAGGTGTCGAGCGGCAACGGTCCTGTTTGTAATGGTTAGTCTCTTCACGCATTGCCGGTCAAGTATAGCTCAGTCTTGTTCCTACCGTCCCTTAAGCATCTGGAACAACCCGACTGGGGACCCCAGACAGTAAAAGTCCTCAACATCAAACTCAAATTGAAGATCGTGCCTCTTTTTTGGCAACTCTTGATTGTCTTTTGCTGGCCAGAAGCGTAGAGGATTGGCGAGCTTGTCTGATGCGGGAGTAGCCTCCTTCTGTCGGCAAAGTATGTCGAACATGATGGCCGAACCGAGCGAATGACCCATGATGTGAACTTTGCCTTTGAAACCCGGGTTTCTCTTCATGAACAGCTTATGAATCCGGTTTGATTCTTGTAAAACGATCTCGGATATCTGTTCCCGATATGCGCTCTGGTAGAGCAAGACGTCCAAGGCCAAGTCAGAAATGAGGGATCGCGCAAAGGCCACACCCTCGATTGTGATATCGTCAAGTGAGGGGTCTACCAGTCATCAGTACACGGAGCGTGGGTCCAGAAACCAAAGTCAGACGTACACTCATCTTCCTCGTTGCTTGCATCAGCCAGATCGCGTTCGCCCTTCTTTTCGCGCTTCTTGGGGAAATCTAGCAAATGTCTCCAGCAGACTGGTAGGACTTGGACCCGGCAGTTCTTGAACCCGTCACCAAGTTCTCCATTGAGAGCGCGAAGATCTACCGAATTAGCATACGTTGTTTTCATGACCTTGCGCATGACATTGACGTCGTGAACAAAGTTTAAGCTTTCCATCCTATTGGCAGTCGTTAGTCGTTCTGCAAGAATCACTCAGATGATTGCTGGAAATGACAAACTTCATTCCCAAAAGCTGGCCTATCCCATGCGTCACCAGACACAGGTGTTCGATGTCGCGACCTTGGGTTTCATTGGCGAGCCCAGTGTAATCGTCTTGTATTTCCTGTTCAGCCTGTCGTCTCATGGCCTCTTCTTTCTCTTCAGCGTTGCCAGTATCCCCCATCAGCGACGACAGTTGCCTTTGGAGGTGAGTCTCTCTGAACTGCTGATCATTGCGAATTTCACCGGTTTCTGTATCGCGCCGACCGGGACCAGTGGACGGCGGGGCTGATCTTCTCTTGAGTCTGCGTTGTTCTTTCTCGTCCAGATCTACAGATGTCTCGGTGCTTGTCTGCTTCGCTGGCCGCTGGTCCGCCGTGCTCTTTGTCTCAGCATTCTTGGCGAGATCTGACCAACCGCGGACTAGTTTAATACCGCTCATGTAACCACCACCAGAGAATCGCTCATACATGGTAGATGTGACCCATGACAGCATAGTGTCGGAGGACAACCATGCCGTGCTCGAGTCTTGATATGTGGCGATACTGTTCATGTGAGTGCCGAACAACCTATGTGACTGAGGTTGGCCCAGGGGGCCAGGAATGGGCGTCTGCGCAGACGTCGCAGGCACATCGGACTTTGCGGAGCCTATGGATGCGTCTCCAGAAACCGCCGTCGACGGCATGCTAACGGTTTCCTTCTTTTTGTCATCTTGAGCCACCTTGGGCTTAGGATAAAGCCAGGGCTTGATTTTGAGGAAGCCATCTTCCAGTTGAGACGCCAAGTTCTCCTCACACGGACGAAGCGTTGAGCCTTCCTGGTAGAACCACGTCCCACGTCGAACATCATACACGGGGCCAATCCAGTACACTGGCGAAAGCTCTCTCTGCTCAATATTTACGTCAAACAAGTAGTCCTCGTTGACGGGCACGTTTGTCGTGGTCTTGGGCAATTTTCCAGCGGATGCATCTGTCGTAGTGTCTGAGTGGGCTTCACGGAGTATATTTTCTGGCTTCTTTGGGCTCGGAGACGAGCTTTGCGAGCCCGATTTTGTCGAACTGCGCTCGCTCTTTTCGAGTAGAGCCTGGTAGGCGGCTTCGATGGCTCGCGAGTCAGAAGAAGAGAACTGGACGTATTTCTTGGGCTGCTGGGGTGGTTTGGAACCGTCGGCGTGCTTAGATGAGGCATATCTGGCCTTTCTCTTGGGTATCTGGAGAGTTTCTCGACAATTAATACTCGAACGCATGAGGCGGCAACGGAGGAGAATCGACGCACGTCAACGGCATGGAACCAGAGGACTTTCAAAGGGGGGCAATCCGAGGGATAGCTCTTCGTGCTGCAGCCGTATAGATGGGTAGTGCTGTGGTCGCCAGCGACCGATCCTGTGCCTTTGACGAACGGCTGCTGGACAGGAATGTCCTTAGGTGTGGGAGTTGTGCTGCGGCTGTTGGCGGCCCAAGGGTTGATGGAATCGACTGCAGAGGAGAGGTATGACTTCTCAAGTCTCTTGTCGGCACCACCAGGGGCCATGGTGGTTGCTATTCCTGAGGGCCATGCAGCAAGTGAGTCCCGGAGGGGAGAGCCGAGGCACCGTGAAGCTGCAGATCGAAGCCAGGGAAGATGCCGTCCCCTCGGTCGCCGACGCAATGTCAACAACAGCGCCAACGTGGCTGCGGTATGAAAACCCGCCAGACAAGGTGGAACAAACAGACGCCACACGGCGTAATGGGGAGCCGAATGAAAGGACCGTGAACGATGGCCGAGGATGCCTCAGTTGTGCTCAATGACCAAGTTGGTGAGGTTGGTGTGTCGTGGACTTGATCACCAGGCATCAATAGTATGGGAGTGCCTTGATCCCCTGACGTCAAGCGCCGTGTGGGCATGTGATAGGATCCCGTTGGAGGGCAGGACGTGGCTTCAGGGCCGCTGGCACCACCCCCACCATCCGGGAGAGGGGGCCGCCTGCTTGGCTCATGTCCCTGGCATGCCACCCTACCTCTCTGTGTTAGGTGCTTGCTTGCCTACCTTACCTACCTTACCTTACCTTACCTTACGTGCAATGCCTCTAGCCAGGCGGCAGGGAGCGAGGCGCGTGACATGCATGGAGACTGGAGCAAAAGAAGAGCAGCAATGTCGATTGCACCTGAGCTAGGTACCTATCTACAACGGAGAAGTACCTAAGGCACCTACCTGGAACGACTACCCACCCGTTCACCTGGCAAGCATGTAATTGTCTTGAGAGCCATGAAACTCGAGAAGCTGCAAACGTACTGAAATTGAATCTACCCTTGCAGAAACATGCACAACGAAAGAAACACTGACAAGCAGCAACAACCGTGCAGGAGCACATTGGGCCCTATCCTGTACGCAAGAGCGACAGAGTGAGAAGCTCCGAGTGTGGTCAACCCTCTGATGATCAATTGAAGCGGGACTTCGAGAATGAAGAACAAAAGAATTCTCAGGTTGGACTGATCAACATGACATGCATGTACCTGAGCTGTCCCTGCCTGTCGACGCCCACCCATGTCAGCGCCATTATCCACCACACACGCACGGGGACTAGGTTGGATGGTGGGGCACGAGCTCTTCCCGTCGCGATGTTTCCTCTGAAGCCTTTCACCCCACCCGCCGTGTCAAAATTTCCCCCATCAACGATTTGCGACAGTCCACCACACGACGACACCCAGTCACTCAGCAACGCACCGAATATCTCTCTGGCAGACATAGAGAGCCGAACAATCACATTGGCCCCGAGTGACGACTTTGTTCTGTGCCTGAGGGATACGTCATGCCCGAGCCACCCACTCGCATCCCCAAGTCCGCCACAGATCGGTAGACAGGCGCATTGCGCTAGCGACCGCAAAGCCAACTCCCTCAGCCTACGGCATCCGTCCTCTGCCCGCGACAACTGCTGCTACACACACCTTGGAACGTCTGTACCATGGCTACCGCGACACTTGCCCCTGTGAAGTCCCAGCTGGTGGACAATCTGCCCAAGCGGTTCCAGGGCATCAAGTTTGGCATCCAGTATGACTCCCACCACCCCTCTTCGCATCATCGCCAGCTGACCGTAGCGATAGATCCAACCAGGACATTGCCAACCAGGCCGTCCTGGAAGTTTCCGACCGTCTTCTCTACGATGTCGACAACAACAGAGCCCCTTTCCAACATGGTCCGCTAGACCCGCGTTTGGTGAGCTTTCTCCCACTCACAATGCGCCATCACTGGGCCGCCTGCGATGGGCAACCGCTGACTGACTAAATGTGCAGGGAACCTCTAGCAAGATCGGCAAGTGCGACACATGCCAGGAATCACTACAGAATTGTACCGGTCACTTTGGCCATGTCAGACTGCCCCTGCCTGCCTTTCACATTGGCTATCTCGGCTTCGTCAGGACCATTCTGCAGGACATTTGCAAAGTAAGGCTGCCTCTTGCCAGACCCCCTTCCTCCCTCCAATTCCAAGTCTGACTGAAATTCTCCAGGACTGCAGCCGTATACTGTTGACCGAACCCGAGCGCCGAGCTTTCCTGAAAGAGCTGAGGCGGCCATTTATTGACAACCTCCGTCGCACGCAAATCTGCAAGAAGATCAACGAGCAATGCAGGAAGACGAAAACATGCCACTACTGCGGATCCATAAACGGTCAGATTCGGAAGGTCGGCGTGCTCAAACTAGTTCACGATAAGTTTGTTGCCTACAACAAGTCGACATCAATGAAGAAAGTCCCGCCGGAAAGCAAGATTGCCTTTGATGCGTCTTTCGATGAGGCGAAAAAGCAGAACCCAGACCTCGACAAGCATCTTCGCAAGGCCATGGAAGACCTGAACCCGCTCAGGGTCCTCAACCTTTTCAAGACCATCAGCCCCACGGATTGCGAGCTGCTCGGCCTGGACCCTGTCGAAGGACGCCCTGAAATGTTCATCTGGCAATTCTTGCCCGCTCCTCCCGTCTGCATTCGACCCTCCGTCGCTCAGGATAACGCAAGCACGGAAGACGACTTGACCACTAAACTTGCCGATATCGTATGGATCAGTGGCATGATTCGACTTGCTCTTCAGAAAGGCTCCCCTGTCCAGACCATCATGGAGCAATGGGAGTACTTGCAGCTGCAAATTGCCATGTACGTCAACAGCGATGTGCCGGGTCTCCAGCAACCAGGTTTTGGCAAGACGGTGCGCGGTTTTTGTCAAAGACTGAAGGGCAAACAAGGCCGTTTCCGAGGCAATTTGTCCGGCAAGCGTGTAGACTTTTCTGGCAGAACCGTCATCTCACCAGACCCGAACCTTGGCATCACGCAGGTCGCCATCCCAATTCTTGTCGCCAAAAACCTCACGTATCCGGAAAGGGTGAATGATTACAGCCTGAAGAAACTTCGAAAATGTGTTCAGAATGGCCCAGATGTCTGGCCTGGTGCGCAGCAGGTCATCAAGAGCGATGAGGGTGGGTACAAGATATCACTGAAATTCGGCAACAGGAGACAAGTGGCTCGCGATCTGAAAGTCGGCGACGTGGTTGAGCGTCACATTGAGGACAACGACATCGTACTCTTCAATCGGCAGCCTTCGCTCCACAAACTCAGTATCATGAGTCACTTGGTCAAGGTTCGACCCTGGCGAACCTTCCGTCTGAACGAGTGTGTTTGCACGCCATACAATGCCGATTTTGACGGCGACGAAATGAACCTCCATGTTCCTCAGACTGAAGAGGCTCGTGCAGAGGCCATCAACCTGATGGGTGTCAAGCACAACCTTGCGACCCCAAAGAACGGAGAACCCATCATTGCGGCGACGCAGGATTTCATCACAGCGGCTTACTTGCTGAGTGGCAAGGATAGGTTCTTCGACCGCAAAACCTTTACGTACATTGTCATGCATATGATGGACGGCATCACACATCTTGATCTTCCGCCTCCAGCGATTCTCAAGCCGCAAGCACTGTGGACCGGCAAGCAGGTCTTCAGCATGATGCTACGACCGAACAAGGAGTGTCAAGTCAAGATCAACCTTGACGCGAAGTGTCGAGAATACAAGGCTAAGCCCGGGCAGTGTCCTGACATGGACCCGGAAGATGCCTGGCTGGTGATTCGCAACTCCGAGGTCATGTGCGGCAGGATGGATAAGTCGACAGTCGGAGGTGGAAAGAAGGACTCTGTGTTCTATGTCATCCTCCGAGATTTCGGTCCCGATGAGGCCGTCACCGCCATGAACCGCTTGGCCAAGCTGTGTGCTAGGCAACTGACCAATCGAGGTTTCTCGATTGGTGTAGGCGATGTCTTCCCTACTGAACAGCTATTGGTGAAGAAGAAGAAGTTGATTGAAGACGCAAACATTCAGGTTGATGAGCTGATCAACACTTACAAGAAGGGGAAACTCGAGAAGGCCACGGGCTGCAACATGGAACAGACGCTTGAAAATTCCATTTCGGGCCTGCTGAGCAAAGTCCGAACCCAAGCAGGAGCTCAATGTATTCAGACTCTCAGCCGGAACAACGCCCCTCTGGTCATGGCCAAGTCTGGGTCCAAAGGTAGTGAGATCAACGTGGCTCAGATGGTGGCTGTCGTCGGCCAACAAATTATCGGCGGCTCCCGTGTGGCGGATGGCTTCCAGGACCGATCCCTGCCTCACTTTCACAAGAACGCACCCCAGCCTCCCTCCAAGGGATTCGTGGGAAACAGCTTCTATTCTGGACTCCTGCCCACCGAGTTCATATTTCACGCCATGTCCGGACGTGAAGGTCTCGTCGATACAGCCGTCAAAACGGCTGAAACGGGATACATGTCCCGTAGGTTAATGAAGTCGCTCGAGGATCTTTCCACGAGATACGATGATACGGTGCGAACTTCTGGCGGAGGTATTGTTCAGTTCCAATTTGGTGCGGATAAGCTTGATCCCGTCGACATGGAGGGTTCGGCAAAGCCTGTTCACTTCGATCGAACGTGGTCGCATGCGGAGAACTTGACATGGAGCAACACCGACCCTGCACTGCTGCCGAACGAGATTCTTAGCTTCTGCGACAGCATGTTATCTCATGAGCGCTCTCGCTACCCCAGACGCGATCTGGTGGGGCAGGGATACCTTGAGTATGACAACACAGAAGATCGCTACACAGATGAGCACGAGGGTGCGAGAGACTTCTTGAGATCAGTCGAGCAATACGTCGCGGGCCGCGCAGCCAAGCTGACTAGGATTCTGCAACTCACCGGCTTGACATCCGACCCTCTCGGCGCGCACATGGAGATCGATTTGATCGATGAGGAGCAAAAGGCAAAGAAAGCCTACGCAGACCGTGTCGCCAAGGTGTCGGAGAACACTCTGAAACTCTTTATCAAGTTATGTCTCGAAAAATACAAGAAGGCTCACGTCGAGCCTGGCCACGCTGTCGGAGCTGTTGGCGCTCAGTCTATTGGTGAGCCAGGCACACAAATGACACTGAAGACGTTCCATTTCGCAGGTGTCGCCGGTATGAGTATTACTCAGGGTGTGCCGCGTATCAAGGAAATCATCAACGCGTCTAAACTCATTAGTACGC